GGTTCCACTGGTATAGATGGGTTTTGTAACCCATTTACTGGTGGGGGGGGGGGGGGCATTTTTCTTCTAAAAGGTCATAGGTCACATGCGTTTTGTGCACGATGGTGGGAAGGTATACCGGGACCCTGAAAAAAGGATTTATAGAGCCTATGATTTTGGGTTGCAATATCTCACTGGGGGCAGTTTGAGGGTTCCAGGTGTATACTTCGATGGGACGAATCGAAGTTAGTGACGCATCTGCCCAAATGCCTGTGGCCCCAAAAAGCTGAGCCGATTCCTCTCGACTGGACGCACATGTTCCCTTTGTCCAACACGGAGGTGCACTGGCTGTTGAAGAGAAGCCACTTCCACGGAAGCGGACAAGGGTGGGGCCAAACGGAAAGTTGCCTTCCAAGGCCTATAGTCAGCTTCCATCGGGGTACTTTGCATGCCCCTCTTTGGGGGTCTCACATCAAGCATAGTTTTAGGTAGACATACCGTGGATGGTTGCGAAATCCATTTCGCAACGCACCACCTACGAAACCCTGGAATGATTCGATTCCCAGGTGAATACCGAACCATTCTCTGACAGCGACAACCAAAACAGAAGTTCCTTCTAGGCGGAGGAGGTTAAAAAAAAAAGAATATATATCTATATATATATAGATGTATTGTTTTGCACCCCGGGTTTCGGCCAATGAAGCCATACAGCAAGTTTTCCGGAAGCTTTCTGAGCTGTGGCTCAAGGGCATCCACCAATGACATACGATCAATGGGGTTGCGGTAGAATTTTAGTAGCTGGTTCTACTTGGAGTCTCCTTCTGACCCTGAAACATGGGTCCATGACCCCATGTTTTTTGGGGTAATGACCAACCATTTTTGAAAGGTCAGAAGGAGACTCCAGGTACTTCGTTTGATTAAGGTTATAGTGAAGCCTCTATAACTCAAGTTGACCAATGCCAAGCTTTGGGACCTTTTAGTTCCCCTTGTTGGTGACCATTTTTAGTCATGGCGACCCAAAAGGTCAACTTTGTTTTTCAGGGAGAAACCTTTGCTTTGGTGCATGTTGCTTTGATGTTAGGACTTCATTTTTTTGCCAACTAATGGGGCTTCCATTGAACCACTAAAAGTTAAACTTTTAGCAGGGGAGCAGCAAGCAACCGGTAGGACGAAAGTCAGGTCCCGGCAGCTCAAGTTGATCAGTGGCTAAGCGACAGGAGATATCTAGTGGCCTCTCTGGAATGAGAGGATTGGCATCGGGCGGGCACGTCGAACGAAGATTTTTATCTCCTGCCTCTGCTACGTGGAATTTCCGCAAGGGTTGGGCCAACACCCAGTTGACAGATGCTTGAGCTTGGCTTTTGAAAGTGCTTCTAAACGTGGGGGGGGGGGTGACCCTAAATAGCAAGGGGCCAACTGCTGTTCCTCTTCTCTACAAACTATTCTCTCCGTTTCTGGGACCTGTTTTGAATGTACGCAATGTGTGTAAGGTGCATCAGTTTTTTGGAGCAGGATCAATCGAGTTATGTTCTTGAGCAAAAGCTGCGGCTTTGTTTCCAGGGCATGGCCCAACCCCAGCTTCCTCGGAGAAAACCGGTGCACAGAACAGGCGGCAGTGGGATCCATACCGCGGCACTCGTCTTTTCATAGATTGAGCTCCAAACTTTGTGGCTCCCATGGATATGATGGTATTCTCACCTTTTCAACCATGACCTTTGACTTTTCAAGGAGCTCCCATGTTGGTCCGCTTCCATTTGTTTTTTGTGGGTCCACTCAAGGTTTGCCTTGCGAGTCCCTTACGCAAAGGGCTTGTTGAACAGGATCGGCATCCGGTTCCTTAAGCCTTTTAGTTTGTTCCAGGCATCCGGTTCCTTAGCCTTTGAGCCTTTTCTTACCTCTTAAAAACACAACACTTTTCGTAACTTTTTGGGTAACATGGGCTATATGTCTGTAAAAGATTAACTTCCCCAGGGCGCAGGGAGTTTTAAGGGGTAAGGTTTAGTGGTAGTTTCCATTGAACCCACTAAAAGAAATGTCACTTCTAGCGGGGGGTCAGAAAACGGGCAGCCCAGTAAAATGGTTCCCTCTACCCCCAAGCCGAAGCTAGCCTCGCGGGGCAGGCACCCCAATTTACCCTGAGGGTAGCTTCAGTTTCGGGGTACGACCCCAAGCACTGCCAACTCGACCCCGCCCATAAAGATTACCCTCCCCCAAATTTTCCCCCCCAAGGCCCTCCAATTTTGGATTGCGGCCCAGACAGCCACCACGGCTTCATTTTGAGACCCAGCGGCGGGCATTCATCTTGGTTTTTCCCCTTCTTCCATTTACTTTCCAGCTGGACCGGAAAAAAGGTGGCGAGGCTGGTCCATGTCTTGTCGAACCAAAAGACAAGGCCTGTGTTTCTGGATCTTGTCACAAAAGGTGCGACCTATTATTTCTAGTCCTTGGGGCGACTAAGGCAGACCTCAAGTGTTTCTGTCATTATGTGTGTTTCATTATTCTGAAGCAACAAGAGTCATTGATAGAGAGGCCAGCATTTTAGATATGGGCTCACTTGTTTGCTTGGTTGTTGGTTTGTCGGTTCTGTTTCTCCTTTCCTAGCTGGCAGCTTGCTGTCTGGTGCATTTGTTTTTCAAGTCTCGAATTTCATAAAGCTACCCTCATTGCCGTACCTAGAGTCTCCACAAACGGGCTCATTATCTAAAACAAGGGGGTCATGGCCCCATTTTTTAAGGGTCATGGTGACTCTAGGTAGACCAATGCCCGTGCGGCAAGGATCTCAGCCAATTGCACGCCATTTGTTGCCGCGGACGTGTGCAGGATTTAGGTTTCAATCGCCGAGATATTGACTCAGCGGATCCCAGTCGTACGGACAGCATCTAGGTCCCCCAGTAGTGCCCTTCTCTCCCCTTTCTCGGGGGAGGGTTCCCCTACTAAAATAGACTACGGGAAAAAACAAGTGCCCTTATTCTAACCTCTCTACTGGATGACCTGGACATTGTGGGCCCCGCGGGGACAAAACGCCAATATCTTGGTCCCGGACAGTGGGGTACCAGCCCTTTGTTCAACTGTTTTTTGGAGGGGGGACCCCTTTAAATCAACCAATTGGACCGAGAGGGTTTCCCTTTGAAACAACCAAGCACAGTTGGCTTGCCTTTCTTATGATAAATCCGTTTGGGTGTGCGCTGCCAATGTCTTTTTTGCTCCGATCCAAGAATGGTCTTCTTGGCGGTCCCCAGCGAATCGTCCAGTTCCTTAGGTTTGCAGGTGGTATTTAGTTGGTTTACTGGTTGTTGTTTCCCCTTCAACCCACAAGTCAGACTCTTAGCAGGGGATTCGAGGATAGCCCGATTTTGTGGCTTCCTTTCGGTTTTCCCAAAAGGACACCACCCATGCCCCCCCCCTCTGAGTGTGGAAATGTTTAATTTAACCATCCCAAAAACTCTCCGAAAGTTTGGATGATGTGCCAAAAGCCTAGGGATCCGATCCACCACTAGAATTCACTATAATGATTATGGCCGCACATTTTTTTGTCATGTGGCTGTGGTTGTCGAAACCAATGGGATCCCATTTTGGGGTGGGTGCACCACCCATTTTAGAACCTATTTTAGTGGTTGGATTGGGATGTTCACTGGGGGCACGATTTGGGTTTTGACCCATGGCCATGTCTGACCGGGTCTATGCGCTTCGGGTCTATGGCTAGGTTTCCCAACGACTTGACAAATCCACATTCTTCACTAGACAACTCTGGGGGTGGTCAGTCACTATAACGATTCCTAAGATAGAGAACCGTGGGCATGGGGGACATATAAGGAGTTGGACCTAGGGTCCAAGAGGCTCTTGTGGATGGCTCATGTTGGCTAAGAAGGCTCTCGTAGGATCTATACCGGACATCCAACGAGTGTCCCCTATTTAGCAATGCTTTGGTGCATTTTGCCAAGGGGGATGTTAGGACTGTAACTTTTTTGCCAACTCATGGGTGTTCCGTATCAAACCACGGAAAATGTCAAACATTTCGCAGGGGAGCAGATTTCGCAGCCGAGAAAAGGGGTCGTTCAGTACCCCCTTAGCCGGCACCAAGGGATTTTCTGGGCATAGACGTCCTTCTTGGTTGTGTTGGTCCAAAAATAGATGGGTTTCGATTCCTGGTTTACCTGTTGGTTTTTTCTCCGCCACACCAACTATCTCGGCCGGGCACGAATCTCGCCGCTGCGGCGTTCAGCGACTTCGCGGTGACATCGCGACGAAAAGGCAAAGCTGCGTCAGGGGCGATGGTCCTCCCGGCCACAAAGATGCGCAGAGCCATTTCAGAAAACTAGGGTCCTGTTGGACATGGATGGCTTGTTTACACTTCGGCAGCGTGATGTTGAATATGTCCTAAAGTTGTTAGGTTTTGCGTTGCTTTGGGAGTGCCTAGATCACAACTCGTTGGGCAGAACATTGGGCAACTGATTCCTTTGGGATTGGTTGAACTGGTCCTTTTTCGTTTGAACGGTTCCGGTCATTTTTTGCAGGGGTTATCTTTTATAGGGTTTACAGGTGCCACCACTAGTGGGTAACCACAGTGGCTTCACTCTAAGTGGTTTCAACATAGATTCCGCCGGTTTCCTACAATCATGGCACCTACCACAAGGGGGGTTCATCCTCATCGACACACGGCCAAGCATTCCTCCCCACCTTGTATTTCCCCCGCAGGTCCTGCTGGGCGAGTGGTAGAATTCACCAGAGTGGGTGAGTTTTCTTTCTTTTGGGTAATGAGCCCATTTTTTAAGACTCCAGGTACTCTTTTCAGGTTGGTTTCAGAGAAACCCCGTCATGTTGTTTGTTAATTTCAATCACCGACGAAACACCGAGGTCATTTTTTGTTGGGGGGGTTCCCCGCATTTCGGGCAGACCCAACAACTCCCATAAAAACAATTTATTAAAAAAAGAGAAGAAAACGCGGCTTCGGCCTTTTTTTCGCCCCACTCCGGACGACTCGACTCCGGGAAAGCGCCCGAGCGCTTCGTCGCCCACCCGAGGCCTTGCTGGCGGTACTGGCGGTGGGCGCGCTGGCGCCGTTGCTGGTGACCTTGGCAGCCCGGCAGATCTGCGTTTGAGCGCTTCTCCTACCTAGAGTCTCCTTCTGACCCCTAGAAAATGGGGTCATGACCCCTTAATTTTAAGCAATGACCCCATTTTTTAAGGGTCATGGAGACTCTAGGTAGGTCTTTTTAGGAGATTGGAGGGGCGTTTGAAGCTGTGGACGCCTTTGCTGAGGCATACTCATAGTAGGGTTCGGGGGGAATCGCGACTCAAGTCAATGCAGAGAGAAAGGTCTGCCTAGAGTCTCCGTGACCCCTAGAAAAAGGGTCATGACCCCTTAATTTTAAGCAATGACCCCCATTATTTAAGGGTCAGAAGGAGAGTCTAGGTGGAGGCTCCAGGTTGCCAAGATGCCAGAACCTTCCGTCGAAGCATTAAACATGGGATCCACCCCGCTCGCACAGCCTGAGCTGGACTCTACCTAGACTCTCCGAGCCTGACCCTGTAAACATGGTTGGTCATGTCCCGAATCTTTCTTTTGGGCAATGACCGACCATTTTTAAAGGGTCGGAAGAAGACTCCAGGAGGCTCCCAAATCGTTTGGGGTGGTTCCCAGCCAGGTAGCACTTAGCTGTTTTAGATCTCTTAAGTTGATTTCGTGTTTCCGCTTGCTCTCGGGTCTGGAGGCTCGGATGTTTGAAGCGAGGGATAAGGCCTCACTCCCGGAACCTTGGACTTGATCGTCACCTTTTGGGGTTGGTAAAGAACAAGTTCGGACTTGTTTGGTCCGCCTGAAGATCTTTGGACTTGATCGTCACCTGGGGTTGGCGGACGCCCACTTAGGAAGTTTGCTGATCAGGCCTTTTTTTGGGCTCCTCTGAGGGGTCCATGACTCCTCCAACAGGTAAAGCGAATCAACTGCCTCTTGTGGCAGGTTTGCAAGACTTGCCGAACCAAATGTGCGATGAAGTAGCTGAGGGCCCTTTCAAGCCGATCAAGCTACATGACTCCTCGATGTCCGCTGAAGATCATGTTCCATGGGCGGCATGTTCGCAGTGAAACGACGCCTGTGTAGCCTGGCCCTGTCAAGCTTTCTCGGACTCATATCTATAGGTCCTTTACTAAAATAGACGACAGAACAAAAGGGTACCATGGGTACCATTATAATATTCTAACCTCCCTACTGGAGGACCTAGATATGCTGGCCATCAATCTTGTTGAATCTTCCTCAGCGGGTGCATCATTCAAAGAAGTCATGCAGAAGGCTCACAACCCTTGCGTACAGATGTTGATCTTTTGAAAACGTGGGGCCAGTTTGGGATGCATGACCTATGTTTGTTTGCATCACTGCAAGCCACTATGAACTGGTTTCAGGCGTATATGGGTGATCCATGCTCTCGACCGGATGACAGGCGCCCATTCCTTGCAGTTGCAGTGCGCCGTGACACGTGACACCGTGATCCAGCCAAGATAGTCAAGCGTACACTCCCTCAGACGAACATGCAAGCTTTCTGACGGCCACTGTAAATGGAGCAAAGTCTTCCGTTTCGGGGTCCGTCCGGGAGCTTCCATGGAATCGTCTGTGGGAGTGTACACATCGATCAGGTTGCGGGATGTTTGCGCCTGAAATGTGTGGTCCGAATCCCGTGTTCGCTGCTTGAAAACCTTTTCCCAGTGCTTTCGGGTACCACTCTCGTATGGGATTTCCTGGCAACCACTTGCCCAGTGCTTCGGTTTCCCTGTTTTGTACTTGGGGTCTCCATGACCCTTCAAAAATGGGGTCATTACCCAAAACAATGGGGCCGTGGACCCATGTTTTTGTTTAGGGTCATGGAGACTCCAGGTAGGTTTCAGCAAGGGAACTCTTTTCAAAATCCAGCCAGACCGCTGGGAAAGGCTTCAGTGGTCACCTGCGCTAGAGGACTCCCTCGATATAGCTGGACACCATCCCCCATGACTTACCTCTTAAAAACACGAAACGTTTCGTAACTTTTTGGGTAACATGGGCCATATATCTGTAAAAGATGAAAACTTCACCAATCCTTGGAGTTTTAAGGGGTAAGCATGAGTCAAAGTGGAGGCCCATGGCTCCACTTGGGATCGCGGATTTCCATTTGGTCTAATTCCCATTTGGTTTGCAACACCTACTGTGGGTGGACAAAATCCGTTCGCACCCTTTAAAACCACGGGAAACCGCTATTTGTTGGCATTCACGTGCGAATCATTTTCAGGGTCTCTCGGGTGGTGCACAATTTCGTCCATCTACAGTATTTGCGCATGTGTGAACTTGGGGTACCCCTATTTTTGCCGTGCTTTTCCAGGTGCTTTCTTCTTTGCACACTCTTAAACCAACCCCAAAGCCATCGCAACACCTGGGTTTTCCTGATGGTTTCCTCACTTCCTGAGCTCATGAGCTTTAATCTTTTTAGGAAGACCCTTTTAGTGGTAAATATAAAATTTGGACTTTTTTTGGGCCATCCACTCAGGCAGTGAGTCCTTTTAACCCGACCCCAAACCAACGCAGACGCTTCGGTGCATGTTGCTTGGATGTTAGGACTTTAGCTGTTTAAACCACTCATGGGTTTTCCATTGAACCACTAAAAGTTACGGAGTTCGTCACTTTTAGCAGGGCTTCGCAGATGTCGCCACCGAGTACAGACCTGGAAGCCCCGCTCGCTCGCTCGCGCAGCGCAGAGGCCACTTTGCTGCAGCGCTGGTCCGCGGAAGTGGCGGCCTGGGGCGGCAGCTTGGGACTGCTCGTGCCCTTATGGCTACGGCGACTGAGGTGCCTAGAGTCTCCATGACCCTTAAAACATGGGGTCATTGCCTAAAATTAAGCCATTTTCTAGGGGTCATGGAGACTCTAGGTGGATGTTTGTTAGACAGGGTTCCATTCTTTGACAACAAAGTAGACTTAAGCCCAGCGGTTTCCCTTTTCTTGGCGGTTCCCAGCCGTCTCCAGGCGGTTTTTAGGTGTTTTTGGGCTGTAGAGGGGGTTTCCTTTCAACCCACAAGCTCCCAAAGTCTAACTTTTGAAGTCTACACCGCAAAACGTTTCCGACTTTTGAAATTCAGAGAGATTTATGATTCCACTCAAAGTTATTTCTTGATTTTCATAGCATATGCTCAACAGCTGGCCCTTTGGAGTGTTCGGCTTTTGCATTAATATGCCCAACAAGTTGAGCTTTTGGAGTGTTCGATTCTTGGCATATGACCAACATTCGACCTTTTTGGGGGCGTTTGATTTTTAAAACGCCCAAAAGTCGAGCCTTTGGAGTGTTCGATCTTTGGCATACGGCCAAAAGTCGACCCTTTCATTTCGTTTGAGGGGGTCTATCCCACGTACTGTGGATGGACGAAATCCTGCACCACCAAAGAAACCCTGGAATGATGATTCCGCTGCAAATACCAACAAGCGTTATGGTTTCAAGCATGGTTTCAAGGTGGTGCGAAATGGATTTGGTCCATCCACAGAAGGGTCGACCCTCTACTAAAAAAGAATATATTTACCATGGAAACCCAGGTTTTTCACAAAACACCCTGGCACCAAAAACGGGTATTTGGAGTAGGGGGTAGGCCCACTTTGCCGAGCAACGCATCTAAGTTCTTTTTGGGGTGGCAAACTAAGCACTAGGTCCTCCAATAGAGAGTTTAGGGTTTAGCAGGGCTCCTTAAAAGATACATGTTGCAACCATTTGACACATGTTGCTTGTTCCACCTTTGAATACAAGGAAACCAGCATTTACAAGTTGCAATGTTCAGGTGTTTTTCATGTATCCGGATCCCTGTTTTGGGGGGAAGTCTATCCCACATTTGTCTGTGGGTCAAAAGCAATGGTACCATTCTGGGGCAGGTATTGTAATCTATTCTAGTTGGGATACGGGCTTTTGACCCATGGCCATATGTTTTTTGTTGTTCGGTCGTCATCAATGGTTTCCCATGGTTTCAATTAATGGTTTCAAATACCAACAAGCAATGGTTTCAACCATGGTTTCAAAGTGGTACGAACGGACTTCGCAACCATCCACAGTATTTTGAGACACATGGACGTGGATTTTGAGACACACCAATAGGTGATGGGCCTTTGGCTCGGCCATCCAGGTTTGTTGATGGTTTGTCATCCGAAGGTACAGTGCCTCTTCTGGGCGCTGGTGGCGTTGCCGCCGGCCGTGGGGGTGGTGATGCCCGGGTCTTGGGGTCGATAGCTCGAAGACGGAGGCGCCAAGAGGAAACCAGGCATCCGGGTCCTTAGGCGCTCACTTCCTGAGTTTCTGGGCTTGATGGTGACTTTTTGGGCTTGGACCAGTTTAGTGGTGAATAAAAAGTTTGGGCCTTTTTTTTGTCGCCATCCACTCAGCAAGTGAGAAGGTGCTGAGTTGCTGCTTGGTTTCGGCGTTGCCACTCAACCCCTTTGATCCCCTTAGGTGTTGAGTTGCGTTGTTTTTCTTGGGCTTTCCACTAAACCACTTTGTTGATTGAACCGTGGGGGGCTCTACGGTGGATGGACAAAATCCTGCACCACCCAAGACACAATGGAGGACCATTGTTTGTTGGTATTACAGGGGAATCATCATTCCCAAGGTTTCTTAGGTGGTGCATGATTTCGTCCATCCACAGTATTAAGAAAAACAACAATGGGTCGACATGGTTTTCGTTGCTTGTCACGGGCCGTCTTGAACCCCTTAATGAGACCAAGTGATGGTTTGCCGCCTATCAACGCGCAAAACGTGGTTCTCACTTCCTGAGTTTCGGGACTTTCGTCACTTTTTGGGTTTGGACCATTTTAGTGGTAAACAAGAAAGGTTCCTGGGCTTCTTTTGCCCCTTCCACTCAGGAAGTGAGTGTTGATGGGTCGGAAAATGCCATTGCTCCTATCACAGAGTTTCAGCTCCCGCAGCCCTGGGATCCATGGGATGAACCCCAAAGAGAACTGTCTTTGTTTTCGTGAATTCAAGAATAAACCAAACGGGAAATCACCATGTTCTGTTTGGACCATCAAATGGTTCCCTTTCTCTATCTGGGTCAGTGAACTGCCGCGGATTGTTCATGGACATCGCATCGTCCGGTTCAACTTAGGTTTTTAGGTGTTTCAGTTGGTGGTAGTTTCCATTTAACCAACAAGCTAAGCTTTTGGTAGGGGATGTGAGGACAGCCCAGTTGTGAATCATGATTGCGTATAGGAGACTGCACGGGAAGTATGCGAGGGGTCAATTTACTTGTGGTTTCAATTGAAACTGGTCCCAAAAAGGAAATGGAGGAACGCCTGCAAAAGGGTCGAACAAGCAAAGCAAGTGTGTGTTATATAAAATATCTGACGCTTTCCTTTCGCCCTGAAAAACACTCACGTGGAGTCTCCATGACCTTGAAACACCGGGTCTACTGCAAAGATTTGGGGTAACTCCCTTTTCAAACGGTCAGAAGAAGGTTTACCCCTTTTGAGCCAACCAAAAGCCGCCTACTGCAAGGAGGCCGCGTGCTTAGTCAGTGTGTCTAGGTCCCCCAGTAGCGCCCTTTCTCACCCCTTTTTTGGTTGGGAGAGTTTCGGTTCCCCTACTAAAATAGACTGCATAAAAAGTTGGTAGACTTATTCTATCCTCTCAAATCTGGAGGAGCTACTATTCCACGTTCCCCGCATGGATCGCCTTCCCCTTCCCCCCGCCCTTCCGCGAATGCCGCCCTTCCGCGAATGCCTCGCGGCCGTTCCGCGCCTCGATCCAAAGGCGGTGGCGCCTGGTGGATTTGGCGGCGGAGCGCCCGGAGCTCTGCAGCTCCGCGGTGCTTCTGCTCCACGCCGCGCTGCCGCCCCTCGGAGCGAGCAGCTTTCACCGAGTCGAGAGCCTCGAGGATTTCTGTAAGAAACTGGAGTCAGGGGTTTTCTGCTTATCTTTTTTGAGAACTTCAGGGGGGTTCCGCGGTGGGTTTTGTTGGAGTCTCCCGCTTCTTTTACTGAAGCCCAGGGGTTTCCCCCCTTTTTTTTCCCCCGGAGTCTCCCTCTCGGAACTTTGGACTTTGAGGGGAGAGCTGGAGTCAGGGTTCGGTTTTTTGAAATTAAGCCCAGGGGTCTTCCTCGTTTTTTCCCTATCCAGAGGCTCCCGTTTTCTTTAGGGCCCGCAAACAGCCAGGTTTTGAGGCCCCCAAACACCTCCGGGGTGCTTAATGGAGGTCGGGTCTTCCATTGAAAGCCCCAGGAGCCTCTGGGTAGACCCTTTAAGAAAAATGTGGTTATATATGACCCGTTTATTTTGGGTATTGAGGCCATTTTTTAAGGGTCAGAAGGAGACTTCAGGTTGACTTCAACGCAGGGGTTTCCCTTTTGGGGAAAATCAACCCCTGGGTTTAAGTCTGCTTTGGGGTTGTCAAAGAATGGAACCCTGTCGCCGGGAGTCGAAGTCGCCCAGTTGAGTCGGTAGCCATGTGTTGGGTAGGGGGAGGGGGGTATGGGGTGGGCGGGGGGAGGTTGTGGAGGGTATGGAGTCAAGTCGAGATAGCTAGTCGAGTCGATCGCATGGAGTCAGAGCCCCGAATGGCCATAGGGCAACAGTTTCCATGTGGTGATAGTCATTGTTTCAGGTGGTTTTCCGCAATGGTCATTACATGTAACGGACCTTTTGATCAACTGCCATATGCAGTGGATTCGAGAGCCATGTGCTGAAACTTGCTTTCCGGGTCCCTGAACAAAGGAAATGACCAGTGGGAAGGGTCATTCCATGTCTCATTCCCTGCATCTTTGGCACCAGCAAAGAAGTCATGTAGAGGTAAGAAACCTGGTTACCCTCTAATGTCCACCCCGCATTAATAAACTCCAGTTTATTAGTTGGGGGGGGGGGGCGTTTCTGGGATCAGACCACTAAAGTAAACTGGGGTTGATGAATATGGGGTCAACATTACCCTGGGGTTCAAAGCACCATCAAAGCAATGAGGGTTCATATAACCACCATTGTTTACCCAAGGATTGTCATCATCCAAATTGGGTCCCTGCCATTCTTTTAATGGGGGTTGAACCCTAGGCATTGTAGTGGCTTGCCTGGAAGCACTAGAGTCATATTATTCCGTTTGCCTCAGACTATTTCTGGCTTTGACTCGAGTCGATCGCCCAGGCAGGTTGTGGGGAGTATGGAGGGTATGATGGTTCCATTTGCATTTGCTGATTTTTGCTAGTTTCCCCTGGATTTAAAGGGAATCGATCTTAGTCACTGGAGTATTTCCCCTCCTGGGGGAATCGATTTCACTACGGGAGATTCTTTTTTACATGTATCCGCAAATGGAAGGGTCGCCTTTTTCGTGGAGAGTTCATGGGCGTTGGCTGAGTAAGTATCAAGGCGTGAAACGGGGTTGGCAAAAAATTGGAACACCGAAGGGAGGACACCACCCAGTCGGAGTTGGAGGTGGGACACTCACACTGGAATGTATCAGTTGGCCCTTGCCAGAACCTTTCTTTGAGGCTAGTATTCCAGGTATGCCTTTCTTCTTTTTTGGGGGGGAGTCCTAAGAGACAAGTTGGACGCGTTTTGTTTTTTCTTTGTTTTCGGGCGCGGTTTGAGGGATTTATAAATATGGCAAGGTGAGAGACCGGGATATGACAACTATAAATGTAAATGAATATAGCATTATCATGATTCACCATATAACATATATACATATGGCAAGAGACTGACCATGATATTGTATTTAAACAAATAGGGTGAGACCATGAACAAATGGCCAGAGCATGTATAGACTGATTTACAATGAATTAGTGATGGCCATGTTTAGTTTTTTAGACATCAGGTCCAATGTGACCATATTCTTCGATGGCCAAGAGAGCGTGATGGAATCGACAGATTGGCAATTTCGGATCCATTGGGGCGAGAGTTCAGGTCTGGTTGGATGTGGAAGGCGCCTGCACAAACAGCCAGCTAGAGTAGCTTGCTCGCTCAAGCAAAGCAAACTCACCCATGAAGCCTTTTGCTTGGATTTGCCTGAACTCCGGGTTGCGCCCAGATGTGAGCGGGGAACAACCACACCTTGCAGCACCACCCCCCCCCTCCCGGGAAACTCTAGAGTCTCCATGACCCCTAGAAAAAGGGTCCATTTGAGCCCTTAGTTTTGGGCAATGACCGACCATTTTTTTTACGGTCATGGAGACTCCTGGTAGACCAACCACACCTTACAGCACCACCTTTCCCTCCGGGAAACTCTGGACAACAGCGCTTTCACGCTTTCGGTGAGAAATTGGGTGCACCTTTTGGTCGGTGGCTTCCTCTTATCCGTGGCAAGAGTCCCCCCGAAGGGGGTGGTTTAAGCGCCGAGCAAGCCGAGTTTCTGAGTTTGTCTCAGCCCGTTGCATGGGCAATGGGACAGTGGCTTCTGGAAAGTAGAACCAACAAACTTTGGAGTGTTGAGTTTTGAATGTGGTTTGATTGTCGGTCCGATTGTTGGGTTCCTTCAATTCATCAGAGCTAAAGGGGGATTCCCTTCGGCCTCTAAAAGAGCGCTTCCATGTGAAGGCTAAGCAACATACTTGTGTGACATGATGTGACCTAAGTCCCCCAGTAGTGCCTTTTTTGGGGAAGGGTTCCCCTACAAAAATAGACTACAAGAAAAAGACTCTGGTACCAACTTATTCTACCCTCTCTACTGGAGGACCTAGTGGCATCACCCACCCCAACCTCTCCCCCCCGCCCAACTGGCTGGCGTTTGGTGCTTGAAACTGCTGACCCAGAATAAACCCGTCCTTTTCATTGTTAAGGGGGTGTTCCCTCCAAAAGTGGTCTGAATCCCCACCCACTAGACAGAGAAAACGCCCCCCTACGAATAAACTGGAGTTTCATTAATCCTGGGTTAACATGAACTTGAGTTTTATTAATCCTGAGTCAACATGAACTAGTGGGCAACCAGGTAAAAGGGGACACCCCCCCGACAAACTCAACCGGGCAACCAGGTAAAAGGGGACACCCCCCCGACAAACTCAAACGGGCAACCAGGTAAAAGGGGACACCCCCCTGACAAACTCAACCGGGCAACCAGGTAAAAAGGGGACACCCCCCCAACAAACTCAACTCCAATTCGAGGCTCTTCGCCGCCTTCTCGGCCACGCGCCTCGTGGTGGCCGCCCTCTTCCGGCCGGGGCTTTCGGGTCTCGGGTTCGATCCGTGGCTCACGGGGCGTTATTCCCAGCTGCCCGGCTAGGTCTCACTGGTGCCAACTTGTACCGTTTCCTTTTTGGGGGAGATTCGGTTCCCCCACTAAAATAGACTACACAAGAAAAGGGTACCCTTATTCGAACCTCTCTATTTGGAGGACCTAGCCAGTGGATTCCGCCCTTTTTGCAACTTTTTGTTGGGAGGGTTCCTTGTAAAGTCAACCAAGCGGAAGCACAAAGGACGCCCTTTTTTCCCGTGGAAATCCACTGGGCATCTGAGCATTGACTGAAGGATCTTGTTCAGTTTCCCCTGTCGGTTTGATAGAGTTTCCAGGATACTTAATGGAGGTTTAAAGGGGAAAATTGCTCAAGGATATGTTTAAGGGAAACGCAGTGATTACATTTACCTGTATCGGCAACCAAGGGAATTAAAAGCCAAACAGAAAATTGCTGGTTGTGGCAACTGGGACCCGCTGGGAGCCGTCAGGTTTACTTAGCTTCTTAGATCTTTAGTTGGTTTAGTGGTTGGGTTTCTATTTAACCCACAAGTTACACGTTTAGCAGGGGATCTGAGGACTGCCCAAATGTGTAAGTTGTTGCTCCTTTTTCAGGGCCGAAGGCAAATGGAGGTCAACAAATCACCTTCTTGCCTTCTTGGTCCTTGGGGAAGCCCGTAGAGGCGATGTGTGTTTGCGGAAATACTGTGAATGGACGAAATCCATTTCGCACCACCAAAGAAACCCTGGAATGATTCGAGTCCCCAACATAAATACTAACGAACAACGGTTTTAACCATGCCCTAAGGGTCTCGGATTTTTTTTGGGCCCTCAAAACTGGTTGTTTTCCCTTGGGCCCCTTGAGGACCGAGGGATTGGTCGGGCTCTCCATTGGAGGGTGCGGGTCCCGGTGTGCATTGGCGGGGTCATGACCCTGGTTTGAATTTGGTGCGAAATGAACCTTCTGTAGGTTGGGGGCCCTGTCAGGGTAAAAGAGTCCACCCAGTTTATTGGCCCCCACACGTTTGTTTGGTGGCTACACTGAAGACGTCCCCCAAAAAGGGCTCCCAATAGGGGGAGGATCCTTCCTGGTTGGTTGCTGGTTGGCAAGTGCCTTTCTGAGCTTTACATAGCTTTGGTGCATTTTGCTTGGATGTTAGGACTTTAACTTTGTGCCAACTAATGAGTTTTCCATTGAACCACTAAAAGTTAAACTTTTAGCAGAGGAGCAGAAAGCAACCGAGATAAGGTGAATGGAGCCACACTCAAGCGCTTCAAACATGGTACCCGAGTGAGCCGTTCCGATTTTATGTTTAAGCCATCACTGAACTGGGGAAGCTTCCTTGGTGGACCCCCTTCTGGAATTGAAAGGGAGACGAAAGGCAACCAAATGCGTAGTCTCCAAATGGTCTCCAAAAATATGAGGATTTCCAAGCATATGTTAATTTCAGTATTTTGAGTGTGTTGTTTTTGGGCACCTCCCAACATGCTGATTTTCCTTTTGGTTTCCCTTTGAAACCACAAAAGCGGGGTACCAAAGGTGAAAAACAGGGGGCCACTCTTGAGGCTTTTCTTAGCGGGGAGAGGGGAAGGACGAACTTCGCTTGCAGCGGGACTCAACTGAGCCAAAATTTCGACCTGTGGTTTTTCTATTTTCTGGCTCGTTACAACCAGCTAGGTGGCCTTTTACCGTTTCTTTTTTGGGGGAGGGTTCGGTTTTTCCCATTTCTTTGGTGCAAATTTTGCCAAGGGAGGTTAGGACTGAATAACTTTTTGCCAACTAGTGAGTTTTCCGTATTGAACCACTAAAAGTTGAACTTTTAGCAGGGGAGCAGAAAGCAACCGAGATTTTCTGGCTCGTTACAAGTCTAGGTCCCCCAGGGCCTTTTTACCGATTTTCTTTTTTGGGGGAGATTCGGTTCCCCTACTAAAATAGACTAGAGGAAAAAGGGCACCCTTATTCTAACTTCTCCACTGGAGGGCCTAGAAGTGGTTTGGAACCAGGGCACGAACCATTTGGCTGTCTCCTAGGTCCCAGACCATCTCAGTGGGGTGCTTTCTCGATCCTTTAAATGGGTGGTATGCTTGTTTGAGGGCGGCTTCCACCCACACGGCGCCTTTTTGCAGCCACCCAAATGAGCCACAATCAAAACCCGGGAAGATGAAGGTTGGTAAGGGACAATCCCAGCCATTAATAGCTGCGGCCGCCTTCTTAATGCGCCATCACTTCATGGCTTCCAATCTAAGTGCATCCCGAGATATCCCGAGGTTCTGAAAGGGATTTGTGCTTTCCATTTTCTCCCCATTCCCTTTTTGGGAACTTTTCCAAATGGGTACGGGTCAAAATTAATCCACCGGGAATTGGACCGCAGGTTTTAGTCCATGTTTTCATTTACCATGGTTCCATTTGGGTTACCTATTTTTGACCCACAGCCAAATGGAATTTGGAAAAATCAACGGGCAGAACCGCTCTCCCAGTTACCCCCGCTCCCCCCCAAAACAAAAACAGAGCGAAAAACCCACGACGCCGCGAGCCAGCCGCGCTTGACGAAATAATAAACACGCCTTCCATGTGCGCGACTCTGCGCCCGTCACTGACTGCACCCCTTTGCACACGATGAGGGGAATGGTGCATATAATCTGCGAGTCATTTTTGTTTGACGAAAACTCAAATCTGTGCTGGGGTTCGTCTGAGTCGAACATGCTCGTGGTTGGTTTACATGAAGACGACCAAAGCGGCATCACCGATTTGGGGGGCGGGGAGGTTCGCACATTTCGCTGGTCTTTCAATCCTTATGCCAGATGGGGTTTCTGTTGGTAGACACCCCGGAGGTGTTTGGGGGTCTCAAAACCTGGCCGTTTGAGGGCCCTAAATACCTCGGGAGCCTTTGGGTCAAAAAGCAAACTCCCACTGTCTCTCATCTGGGTTGCTCAAATGGAAACGTTGTCCCAAACCAGACTCCGCAGCGGCACAGCAATGGAGGGGTCGGGTCTTCCATTGAAAGCCCAAGGAGCCTCTGGGGAAGATACCCTTTTTGGGGTTGATTTGGAGGGACGCCAAATGGAATCACCCATTGTTTTGGACGCCCTATGTTGGCACGTACCCGTTTGAGTTGGTGCTTTGATGGGTTACATGGTTGTTGTGTTTGTTTTTTTCCCAAATAGTTATTTCCCTTTTTGGTTTCCCTTTAAACAACAAGCAGGAAGGGGTTCCCAAAAAAGAAGGCATTGCGCAACCGCTTTGTGTTTGGACAGGCGTTCCATGGCACACGTGGAGGGGGACGATGCCGGCATTCTCTTCCTGGTGCTGGGAGGACGGGTACGGATCGGTCCGACTGTTGAGACATCCACCAATTCAACCCCCATTAAAATAATTTGAGTGATGATACTCCTTCGGTACGCAAGGGGTGATATTTGACTGGCTGGGTTGAAGGGACGAGCAAGGGAGCCCGGGATGGCAATTTACTCACGTTCCAATGGATCGCAAACGAACAAAATGTTTGAATCACATCCAGTTTTGAGGGCTTCTTCTTTGGTGATGCTTGTGGGGAATCCCAAGCGAATCGACTGGATCTGACCTTTGGTTTCCCCTTCTTGGTCCAGGTCTGGTAAAGGTCCCAAAAGGTGATCACCTTTTTGTTCCATCTTATTTGAGGGGATGGAACTCTGATGAGTATTGGATCCACTCAAGCGGTTGCATTCGAATTTGTTTTCAAAGGGATGTTTGGTCGGCTCGCTTAACATTCTGGGCGCCAAATCGTATCGTGTGCGTTTTCCTGGGCATTTGTTTCACACCCGGACCTAGAGGCCCAGAGGTCTGAGGGGAGCAGATTTCGCCACCGAGTCATGGGTGTAACTGACACCATACGTCCAGTTTGGTCAAGGCATAGGAACTGAACTGGCAAGCGCCGAGTCAGCTGATAGTTTCTGGCACCTGCACCTGCAAAGTGTCGGGCCCAAGTGCGTGTTTGCTGTTTCCTCGAGGGTGCCTGTTTCGGGGTTAAGAAAAGCTTTGTTGCCCGAAGAGACCGTTTGGCCTTGTGCTTCTTCCCCTTTGCTCAGTCCCTCTGATTCCCTTTCTGTGAGGTCGGTTCCCAACCACCAAAAAGTCAACCCCGAAACAGATGTGGGCCACTGGGTCCTGGGTTTTGTTTGTGAATCCATGCTTGCCCAAGGTTCTAAGAGGTGAACCTGTCAGTTGGCCCTTCCAAGCGAGGAAGCGTGGGAAAAGCCATGGACCAGTGGCGCCCTTTTTTTCTTTTTTGGGGGAAGGGTTCCCCTTTAAACTCAACCAACCAAAAAAGGATGGATGCCCTTTTTTTTCTGGCATGGAAATCCACTTGGCATCTGAGTTCCTTTCGCCTCCAACTGCACCATGATGGACTTGGTTTTGGTTGGAAACATCGCCTGTTCGAGCATCTCCTTGAGAAGTGAGAGACCAGTCGTGGAAAACTCCCTTGCCCAGTAGATTCCGCCTGATTCCGCACTTTTTGGCCGTTTTTGGGGGAAGGGTTCCCCTCCAATCAAAAAACCGGATGCCCCTTTTTCCCTGTGGAAATCCACTGGGCATCCAAGAAAAGGGAATCCCGGCGGTATCGCAGAAAGTTAGGCTGTTCAAAGGCAATTCAAACGATCCAGTTGGGCTATAAAGGGCTCGGGTTTCCCTCCATCCTCAGAACGGCATCCCTTTCCCTTGCGAGTGCGATAGGTAGGGAATGGCCTTCCGGGTATTGGGAATGAACCTATGGATTCCCTTAAAAAAAACATAGCGGATTGCTTATGGGGAGCCAGAGATACTGAACAAAATATTAGAAAAGCAAGCAGGCAGCGCAAACCACACCAACGAAGGTATTTTGTTCGCCGGTGGCCACTGGTTTGAGTATGGCAAATCGCAGCCAAGCCTCCATCCAGCCCAGACAAGGTTGTTTGAAGGGGGTGAGCAGGAGTCTAAGCACCTGCCCGCCTTTGAGGGCAAACAGAACTATTGGCCCAATGTCCTACCATGGATCCCGGTTCCCATGCAGATTGGCTTTCCTACTGCACAGGTTGGAATTGGCTGCGGCTGTGGCAACGGATGCAGGCGAGGGCTGGGCCCTTGTTCCTCAAGTTATTGAGATGCTCGCAGTGATTTGGCCTTTTCAACCCCTAGGTCCCCCAGTAGTGCCCTTATCTCCCCGTTTTTGGTTGGGAGGGTTCCCCTAGTAAAACTGACAACAGAAAGAAAAAGGGTACCCCTCTCTACTGGAGGACCTAGACATGGTTTCTTTCAGTCCGGTTTTTTAAAGTGAAGCGGGTTCCCCAAAAGCAGCTCGTACTGGAGTAGCTGCCCCAGATAGCCGTTGGATAGTCATTACCTAGTTGCACAGAACAGTATACGGCCATGAAGTTTGATGAGGTTTTCATTGCAACTGGTTAGTGGACACAAATACAAATTCACTCGCGTACACATAATCTACATCATGACATGGGTGTGGCTCAAAATGAATCACCTAGGGTTACGCAGGTTTTAGTCTTTGGTTCCATTTACCGTTTGGTGCCATGTTGGGCTCCATTTTTGTGAGCCACAGCCACACATATATATACATATATATGTGTATATGTATTATAGTGTGTATATCAAGAGCGCCTGCACCTCCAGGGCACAAGGCTTTAGGACCCGGGAACTTCCCAGAGGGAGCTTGCTCTCGGGACTCCCGAAAGGCCAAGGGAGTTTCCATTGGCTCACTTCCTGAGTTGATGGACTTTAGTCACTTTTTGGGCTTGGACCATTTTAGTGGAAAATAAAAAGTTCGGGTACTTTTTTTGGCCAGTCAACTTGGGAAGTGAGTTGGACCCACAACCAGCCAACAACTTGCAGATGGGTCGTCGCAGCAACCAAGCTTCTCAAGGGCCTCTGAGGAATTGGTCAGGGTCTCCATTGGAGGGTCCAGGGGTGTGCATTGGAGGGGTCATGACCCTTAGGGCAGGGACTTTTTCCGGGTTGTGAGCTACCTCTGAGTCAAACCATGAACCTTGGTTTTTTTTTTGTTTTTTTTTTTTTTCTCGGAGAGTTCGGGGGTTGCGAGTTGATGGTTCATATTTTTTTCCGGGTCGCCTCCAAAAAATCCTCGGGCGAGCTGCCCCAAAACGGTCGGCGCCTTTTCCGGAAGTCGGGGCTGAGGCGCCCAATGGCCCGGAGCGCCCAACGGCCGAGCAGCAGAAGCTGCTGGGCCTGCTGCTGGCTTTGGGCCGCCGGCCCAGCGCTTCGGAGGTCGCAACATGTTTGTGCTTCATAGGTGCACCTGGAGTCTCCATGACCCTTTAAAAATGGGTCCATGAACCCATTATTTTGGGCAATCACCAACCATTTTTTAAGGGTCATGGAGAGTCTAGGCAGAATCATGTGGATGGACACAATTTTGTTTTTTACTGGTTGATTAATAGGGGGGTGTCCCCTTTTAGTGGGGATTCAGAGACTTTGGGAGGGCACACCCCCCCTAATACTGGGACGGGTTTATGAATCCTGGGTCAACATTAGGTGCAGAATCATACCCAAACAAAAGTTCCTAAACGGAATAACAAGCTCCAAGGTCAGCTTGGGAGTCACATCAGATCGCACATCGGCAGGTACTGAAACACACTGTAGCCAAGTGATCTGTAAGATGTTTGTGCTTCTTGGAGGTGTTCCCTTTAAGCCAGGAAAGCAACTTGAAGTGAGCCAATGAGGGCATTTTCTGGATCTGAATTTTAAGGCAATCTCCGGGAAGACATTCCCAACACCCGGGCTCGGTCATTCCCTACCTACTGCGGATGGACGCAATCCTCTTAGGCACCACCTAGCAAACCCTGAAAGGATGATTCCGCATCTTGCAACTGCCAACAAACAAAGGTTTCAACCATGGATTCCAAGTGGTGCGAAATGGATTTCGTCCATGCACAGTAGGTCCCCCAGCTAGGTGCCCTTTTACCGTTTCTTTTTTGGTTGGCAGGGTTTCCCTACTAAAACAGACAACAGAAAAACAGTTGGTACCCTTATTCTATCCTCTCTACTGGAGGACCTAGAATATGAGAGTCGTCCGAAAGGTCCTTGTATTGAGCTATGAAGGGGAAGACCTTTTGGTCTTAGCGTTGACCTCCGCGAAAGTTTCGCGAAGGGGGTCGCGAAAGTTATTTTTTCCGCGAAAGTTGTGTGTAAGGGTGAACAGGAAGCTGGAGTGATGAACCATGTGTATTTACCGGCAGTGCGCGCAGAATGCCCGCAGACTACAGTTGGTCGGAGAATGCACAGCCCGAGGGTCGCTGCAAGAATACGCCGATGCAAAAGAAACCCCCAGCCAGCAGAAACCAGCTCTTGGGAGTATTGAAACTTTCGGGGCAGGCTGAGCACAACTTGCAGCCGGATTTCCGCGAATGTTTGGAACTGAAATGTTGCGACTTTCGACCTAGGGCTGCGGATTTTTTCTTTGTGTGCTACTTTCGTATTGAAAAGTTTTGACTTTCGAGGCTGAGGAAATTTAGTTCGTGTACTGCTTTCGTATTCAAGCCGGGCTGCGGAAGTTTACTTTTAGTACTACTTTCGTACTGAAGAGCTGCGACTTTCGAGCTGGGGCTGCGAAAGTGTACTTTGTGTACTACTTTTGTGATGAATATTCTGAAAACAGTCCCGCGAAAGTTCCACGATGGGGTCCGCGAAAGTTAATTTGTTTCTCGCGAAGATGGCGGTTTCCGGAACAAGGAATTTCAAACAACCGTCATATGTTTATGGCGAGCTCACTGATTCATTGGTAAAGAGCCTTGACCTGGGCACCCAAGTCTTAATTATTTCAGGCCCAAGCCGTTTCAGGAGGCATTCTCCAGTCTGATTTCAAGTTTTGGGCATTTGTTAAATTTGGAGATCCAGTCTTATTTCAGGTTTCCTGGCTTTAAGGTTAAAATCTGCAGATGCTGTGTACCTCATATCCAAGATCGTCAGAATGACCCCAGGCGCCAGAACCCCACAGCCCAAAGGCAACGAAGCCTTGCCTTCGGAGTCAAGGGGCCGACCCCGCGAAAAGCCGAAACTGAGGTGATAGCGTGGCTGGACAAAATCCATCTCGCATTTGAAAACCATGGTAAGGTTCGTTGGTGTCACCAGAAGCCAGGGTTTCTCAACGGTGCGAAATGGATTTTGCAACCATCCGTCTAGGAGACGGTTTGGATGCGGTTTTCGTGGATCCACCCTGGTAGGATAGCAAAAGAGTAGTAAAAGAGTATTAAAAAGAGGAACAACTTGCAAAACAACATGGGGAAACCACAGAAAGCGCATCCAATCCGTTTGCAACCATCCGCAGTATCCCCAGCTTCTGGAAGCATCCTAGAAGCCTCCTGGAAGCCTCCTGAACCCTGCCAAGTTGCCCCAATCGCCTATCTGGGTGTGGCTCAAAATTTAAGAGCTAGGGTGTTTGGTCTTTGTTTCCATTTAGCTAGGAACCATTTTGGGTACGTCTTTTTGAGCCACAGCCGTCTGAGACCTGGAAGCTTTCTGTTGCGAAAAACACCCAGCTGGCGACAACGGCAGTGTTGGCCATAGATTGCAAACCAACTAAGGGATTTTCAATCAGTTTGGAGTATGGACCGCAGTTTGAGTTAACAAAGTCTTAGGTTGGTGTCGGTAAATGCTTGATTGTGTTTGCGACTTTCTCCTCACCCCTCCCCAGATATTCCCTGGTACCCTTTGATGCTGGCTGGTGAAAGAGGTGGAAGCAGCCTCTTAGGTACCAAGGGACCCATGAGCCTACTCAGATCCTTAATTCCAACCGTTTGCAAACACCCCCAAAGCATCCATGACCCGTTAAAATGGGGTCATTGCCCAAAAGAAAGTGGTCATGACCTTTTCTATCAGTCACGCAAAATCCCAGGAAGCCGAACCGGGGGGGGGGGTGGAGTTGGACCCCAACGGGCACAAAAGCCCTGCCAGTTCTGCCAATCAGCGGTCTGGGGGTCCGGAACCGCTCTGGACCTTTGAACTACAAATAAGGTGGCATGGTTTCAGTGGTTGGGGGTATGTTTAACCCACGAAAACACTAAAAGTAAACTTTTAGCAGGATCCAAGGACAGCCTGTGGATTCCGCGCGGAATGACTTGGGTATTGAGCCTATTTTTGTAGGGTCAGAAGGAGAGTGCGGGTACTCTTTTTTCAGGTTGGTTTCAGAGGAAAACCGCTATTTTTTGGTTAATTTCATGAAAAGCGAAGGAACACCGAGGCCTCATATCGGGCTTTGGGTTATGAGGGACTTTGAGAGCTCCGGCCTGTTGCCCTGGGACCAAAAACCCGGGAGTTGCCATCTGACGTTGGGACACTCGGAGAAAACCCTTTCCACAGGGTATCCGAGTGCAGTTCCCTTAGGGAAAACAACCAAAAGTGGGAAGCCCATCGTTTGAATGGAGGGAGGCCCCTCCCTCTATGTCCTTTTATGTGGGCAGTTTACAACGGAAGAAGCCAAAACAAGCTCCTTCAAGAAATCAGGGTGTTGTTGAGGTTGGCTCCATATTTTGCAGAGGACTCTACCCAGACAGGGCCTCCTTATGACCCTGAACACATGAGGCTCATGGAGACTCTAGGTACATGGTTCCGTTCCTTCCGGGGAATCCGGTGACTTTTGTCTCTCGACACATCTGCCATGTGAAACGCTCCACCCAACAGATACATGTCAAAGCCACCAAAAAATGCACGGACCTATCGACAATTCATTTTTTATCAGACTGCGGAAGAGGAACAAACACACCATCTTGGAACCCACCAAAACAAAAACACGGACACGAGTTTAATTGTTGTTTCTCTTTTTTTTGTTTTTCGACGGAAAAAAATGTGCAACAGACACACAAAAACGTGCACCGAATCACATGTCTTCCGTCCGAGGCTGCTGGGACCTGCTGGGGGATGGCTTGGGTTTCCACGCCTGGAACTTCGGAGTCCTCCGCGCGGGGCCCAGCGCTCGGCGCCCTTTGAGTCTCACCTCCCGAGTTGATGGGCTTTAGTCACTTCTTTGGGCTTGGGCCATTTTGGTGGTAAGTAAAAAGTGCGGGGACTTGTTTTGGCCAGTCAACTTGGGAAGTGAGATTTGCCAACTTTTTTGGGGGGAGGGTTGCCCCCTACCAGAATAGACTACAGAATTAACTTTGGTGCATTTTGCCAAGGGAGGTTCGGACTTTAACTTTTTGCCAACTGTAGTGAGTTTTCCATTGAACCACAAAAAGTTAAACTTTTAGCAGGGGAGCAGAAAGCAACCGAGTAATAGACAACAGAAAAAGAAGTTGGTACCAAGCTTATTCTAACCCCTCTATTGGAAAACCTAGGATATCAGGAGTCTCTTTCTGACCCGAGAAAAACGACATGGCTGCAGGCTCACAAAAATGGAGCCCAAAATGACACCAAGGGGTAAATGGAACCAAAGACTAAGAACTGCATAACCTTGGCTCTTTAATTTTGAGCCACACCCACATGGGGTCGAAATCCATCTTCCTTAAATGGGCACCCGGTTCTGACCATTTGTATAACTTTTCCCGTGTGGTTCTGAAACATCGTCACGTTGGTGGTTTTTCCAAGCAATGGTCATCCCATGTACAGGACCTTTCGATCAACCCCCGCATGGATGGTCACCTACCAATAGGTCATGCGTCCTGTTTAAAAGGGTCGAGACTCCAGTTAGAAATAGATATGGAACAGAGACAGAACAGTATTTTCCGCGTACGCCATGTGGGCCAAGTTCAGTTGACAGGACAAGTTTGCGTATCTTATGGCAAGCAACTCCACCGATCCAGCTGTAAATCGAACGGCGGCCTATGATGTAGGTAATTTACCTGCGAAGCCTTGTTTCAGGGTTTTGTGAATTATTGCATGATGCCGTGGATGCACGAAATCCTGCACCACCAAAGAAACCTTGGAATGATGCTTTCCCTGTAAATACCAACGAACAATGGTTTCGCATGGTTTCAAAGTGTTGCACGATTCCGTCCATCCACAGTTGACAATCAGCCCATTTCAACGGTTTTGCAGAGGATTCTACCTAGAGCCTCCATGACCCTTAAAACATGGGGTCGTGACCCCTTTCTTTGGGTAATGAGCCCATTGTTGAAGGGTCATGGAGACTCTAGGTAGAGAAAATGAGGCCACCTTTCAGCAGGCTACAGATTTCCATTCTAGATCAGTTCCTCCATCAATAAACCCCTGGTTGATTTTGGCTCAGTTCGTCCTATTGAAGAAGGGGCTCGCAGGATCGATTTTTTTGGGTAGACTCGTTTTTGGCCTTGTTCAGAACTGGGGCCCGCTGAGGCTGTGGCACTCCGTTGGTGGAGCTCTCCTTTGGGGAAGCCACATAGACTCACAGACCTCCAAGGGGGGTCTGATGCAAAGGATGTGTTACTGTTAGACAGGGTTTTCCCATATTCTTAATGCCCCAAGGTCGGCTTAACTCCGGGTTTGATTTTTTTTTTTCCGGGGAATCAGCCACTGGGTTTCGGGAAAGGCGGAAACTGGAAGCCTATGTTAGAATGCTGGGCAAAATACCGGGTTTCCGGGGGTTCTGTGGTCTCATAGGCCGAGCCGCTTCGACGGATCGATCCCGGGTTCTGGGGAAGGCACGAGTCAAGTGCGAGGCAGCCTCGTTCGCTTCTGAGATGGTCGACATGTGGGCGAAAAATTGCAACCCCCGGTTTGCCCTCAGTAAACATCCATGTGGGTTACGAGCCTGGGACAGGAAAAAATGGGGCTGGCAACTTGGCCAGGGCTCCGAAAAAGATCTCCGTTTTTCCCCGTTTGAAACATGTGGCTTTTTCAACACCAGTAAAGTTGGAAGCCACCATTTACAAGGCGGAGTGTTCAGGTGTATTCACTGCATCCGGATCCCTGTTTGCCTCTTGTTAGGCTTCCGGCCCAGGAACCGCAGGTCTGACAGCCAACACTTCTAGCCATTCCGCACGCAGCGATTCGGACCGTTTACTGTGGGGACCCAAAGCTTGGTTTCCCTTTTGACGTCTTAACGCAACCTGGAGTCTCCTGATCATTGAAAGATGGGCTCATTACCCAAAAGAAAGATTCGGGTCATGTCCCCATGTCTTTTTCTTAGGGTCAGAAGGGGACTTTAGGTAGGGCTTTTTGGCCCAACCACTCAACCGGAAGTGAGCCCGCCTTTTTTGTGAAGTTTCTGTAAAAGGTGGCGCTAGGCAATATGTTTGGTAAGACTGAGTGATGCGGTGCAAAACTCAGAAGTTCATTTCCAAACCATATACCAAGGGTCATGGAGACTTGAGGAACCTTTGAGAGTATACGCGTGTTTTTTTTTACCGCTGGTGTCCAGGCTGGCAAAACGGTGTAGCCTTTCGCCCGTGCTCAGTCAGGCTCCGCTCACTGGTTCGTGGGGCTGCTTCAAGCACAGGCAGGCGGCATGTGTTGCTCTTACGTCAGGTGCCTAGAGGCTCCATGACACCCACTGAAAGCTTTTCAGGTGGTTACCTACTATACAGGTAAGTCTTCACGGTTCTTGGCAAGTTTTTGTTTTGTTGTTTTTGTTCTGCTCATTTTTTGGGAAGCTGCAAAAAACAACCTGTCTAGGGTGTCCTTTCACCGTTTCTTTTCTTGGTTGGGAGATTCGGTTCCCCTACTAAAATAGACTACAGAAAAAGGGTACCGGTACCCAGTTCTTCCATTTGCTTCTCATAAAACATGTTGTTGTTTTTCCCCATTGTCTGCTTTAAAGGGGATCCATCACTGGAAGTATGTTTATTTGTTCCAGGAGACTTAAGCCAATGGAAGAAGTATACTTGCCTGGGTTGGGCACCATATTTTGCACATCCCTCAACTTCATGGTTCTAGGGTAACCCACCCCTTTCTTGTAGTTTTATTGTTTTTGCTGGTGGTTTCCCTTTGGTTTTCCTTCACAATCGGCATGTGCTTAGGTTCTTAGGTGGTTGAATGGTGTGGGCTGCAAGAAAAATCCGGGAGCTGTTTGCTACCAAGGGACTGCTTAGAGTCTCCTTCTGACCCGTACAGAATGGTTGGTCATGACCCCTTCTTTTGGGATTTTGGACCGACATTGTTCAAGGGTCAGAAGAAGACTCCAGGTGGTTTCCTTCAATAGAACATCCAACCGGGGGTTTCCTTTAAGGGGACCCCGAAACGGTTCATGCCCTCATCCCTTACCTATCGCACCAGCAAGATGGCCAACCATTGTTTAATCCAGGTAGGCGTTTTCCTTTTGGTTTTCCTTTTGGCTTCCCTTTTCGCGACCAAGGCAATGACTTCCTTCAAAGGAGACTCCAGGATCCTTTTTCTTTGGGTTTTCTTGCTGGTTCTATAGGCATGTCCCCCCTATAGCATACCCTATGGTTTTGTGGTTTCCTTTAAGGGCATCCCGAACTGCGCAGTTTAAACGCCCTTGTCACGGGATGGCTTCCACTCCTCAATCTCACTGTCAGCTTCCATGATTGTTGGAGGAAGGGTACCCAGTGATTCCATGGTTTTGTAGGTAACCCTGCGGGAACCACCCGATAACTCCCAAAGGAAAAAGGTTGTTGAACCGGGAATTGAAAGGAAACCAACACATAAACCACCCTTTGTTGGGACTTACACATACCTACGAAAAGATGGTCTGGGAGCTAGGCAAGGAGTATTTCACTTAGCTCCAATCGCTAAACGCATCGCACTCCTGACTACAACCCACTTGGGGCTTCACCCGCAAATGCATCACCCATGATTCTTGTTCTCGTTTCGCTCGTCGCCTTCGTAGGCCTTGGAGTGCCAGCTGCGGCTGCTGACGCTGCTGAAGCACCGCGAGGCAGTCGCGGTGGCAACGCGGAGGGGCAGTCGGGGTTGGTGGCCCCGGGCCGGGGTCGGAGGGGTGGCAACCGGCGAAGCCTCCGGGGGTAACTTAGGTTTTTTGTTTCAGGTTTTTAGGTGGTTTAGTGGGTTTTTAGGGTCTGTTTAGGCTGTTGGTTCGTTTAGTGTTTTTTTGTTGTTGAGTTGAGGCACTTGTTAAACGTTTAGCAGGGGATCGGAAAACGGACAGCCCAGTTTCCAGCTTTGTTTTGGTTGGAAGGCCGTTGCAGAGCCGGTATTCAAATTTGTTTCAAAATGGGGAGTCTTTCAGGAGGCTTGTGAGGACATGGATTTCTCACAAGTCACGACATTTCCATCATGAATTTCCTGGTGGCTTCCATTGAAACGATCGCCACTTTTGGAGATTCCAAAAAGGGAAATGGAGGAAACCCGGTTTCCAGGGTAGTTTACATGGAATCAAATAGCAATCGAACTTTAACCAGCCATTGTGCAGGATGACCCCAGATTCATAAACCTGTCCTATTACCAAAGGGCCCCTCCAAAAGCGGTCTGCATCCCCACGAAAAGGGGACACCCCCTGCTCAAAATCAACCAGGCACATATTAATCCGTTGTCAACATTAGTTTAGAGGGAGCCAACAGGACCCCCCGCCATTTTGGGAGGGGCTTCGTAAATATTCCCTAGCTTTCGGTCTCCCATGTAAAGGGCACCTTTTGATCAACTTTTCGGAAAGGGTACCAAATCAAAAGGCCCGAAAGAGTTTGTCTTAAGATAGGGACTCCCAGAAATGGATTCCTTTGGGTTTCCCTTTTGACCCACCCGTTTCAGGGCTCGGGCTGTCCCGATGAACCTGTCCAACTACCCGTACCCTCAACTAGATCTCCCAGTAGTGCCCTTCTCTCCACTTTTTGGGTTGGGAGGGCTCCCCGACTAAAATAGACTACAGAAAAAAAGGGTACCCTACCCTTATTCTAACCTCTCCACTGGAGGACCTAGTCAAACTACGAATAAGAATTGGATTTCACTTTTTTGGGCATTTTGAGAGCATTAACCAATTTTGGGCAATAAAAACTGGATTTCACCTTTTTTTGAGGGCATTTTGAGGACATTAACCAATGTTGGGCAATAGCAACTGGATTTCACCTTTTTTTGAGGGCATGTTGAGGGCATTAACCAATTTTGGGCAATACAAACTGGATTTCACCTTTCTATGAGGGCATGTTGAGGGCATTAACCAATTTTAGGCAATAAAAGCTGGATTTCACTTGTTTAAAGGCATTTTGAGGGCATTAACCAATTTAGCCCAATAAACACTGGATTTCACATTTTTCTTTTGAGGGCATGTTGAGGGCATTAACCAATGTTGTGCAATAACAACTGGATTTCACATTTTTTGAAGGCATTTTGAGGGCATTGACCAATTTTCAATAACCAAGTTGAGCTAACCAATTTGGGGCATTTGGATGGACTCATAATTCTGGGCGAGCGACTAATGTTTGAGGGCATTTTGAGGGTCCGACCCGGACAATTTGACCAGGTACCCAAGACCCATGGTAAATAATCGGTAGAGCCCCAGTTTCTCTCCGGAACAATATTTCACAAAACAACTTTACATACCTCCAAAACTGGGTTTGACAGCTGCATTTGCTGCTTCCTTGTTGGGCTACAAATATCTTGGCCCTATTAATTGTTGTTTGGAAAACTGGGTGCTAAATATGGAGCCTGGATGTTTTCTTTTTGCGTATAAACAAAAGCGATTCGTATGCCCTGCAAGACCAAATGGTCTAAACAAGTCTACAATGAGCTGCTGTGCCACAGCTGCCACCGCGCACACTGCTAAGGAACCCCATGGTAGTGTTGTAGCCTAAGGATCAGCAAGCACCCACGGGATTCCAGGGGTCTGGATCTCCAGTAGTTTTTTTTCAAGCTACAAGGCCTTTTGAGATCCCAAGATGCTTAGGGCACTACCAACAAAGACAGACCTAGAGTCTCCTTTCTGACCCCTAGAAGAAGGGGCCCATTTGACCCCATGATTTTGGGCAATGACCAACCATTTTTTAAGGGTCACAGAGAGTCTAGGTAGATACGGACGGCCACACCAAAAACATGCCCCTAAGTCAAAGATCGCAATGTTTACGACCCAAGAATCACAGAAAGCTGGCAAGGTCTTGCAGTTGCAAATGCGCTTGGCTGTTACTTGTCTCAGTCCCGGAGTTTCTGGACTTTAAACTTTTTGGGAAGACCATTTGGTCAATGAAATGCCTGTGCTGTTTTGCCAATCCACTCTGGAAGTGAGTCTTAGATGTTTCTTCATTTGAACTGTTCCAGTCGCCGTCGGACCTCGCGATCATGGTTAGCGGCTGAGCTCAGCGCAAGACCACCGGTTTATATAAAGGTGAAAGGCAAATATTACTTGCTGGTGCTCAGTAGGCAATGAGGGAATGACCCTTATAGACAATCCAACTGGTGGTTTCCTTTAAGGGAATCCCCAGGTTCATTCCCTCATTCCCTGAGCACCAGCGAGATTAGCTAGACAACAAATCAGTTGATTGCGGATGTTTCTGACAGGTGATGCGAAATTTGGATTTCGATACCATCCCAGTATCTCTTGGCTGCATTCGCTGGCACTCACATCCATCACTTTCCTACATCCGTGAAGCCGCTAAAAGAAGCCGATCACAATCCGGATGTCGAACACAAGGTAAACTTCCAGGACAACCATGATGCTATATGGCCATGCATCTTCAGAGCCTTCAAAGTGGCTGGACATACATTCCGGAGATGTCTGCATAGCCTATGAACAATTCACACCCATGACCCATTTTCCTGAGCAGGCTATGGTTTCTCTGCTTCGGCTCAGTCGGCTGGAATTTGGCAGGTTGCTTCCGGGCTTTCCGAAAGTGGGGTTCCGGGACTGGGGATACCTGTTCCCTGGGGTTCAAGCCATTAAAACCATGGGGGGTCATGTAACCACCATTATCCACCTAAGAATTGTCATCATCTAAATTGGGTCAACGTTTGTGTTAATGGGGGTTGAACCCCAGGGTGTTAGGTAGCTGAAAGTTGGTGGCTCGGAAGGCTGGGAAGCTACACTCGAAGCTTCCACCACGCCAAACCAAGGGGGCTGAACCTGGCTCAGAAGCTGCCTGGCTCCATTGTTCAACCTAAGACCCTTGTGGTCTCCTCCAACATTCTTTCAGAACGCTTAGGGTAAACCAAATATGGACCAGAATTTGATTTGCAAGTATTACCCTCCCGCCAATATTAACATGGAACCTGACCTCATCCCAATGATGCTCTTTCAGCCCGTGCGGACCCACAAGAAGAAGAGTCTTGGGGGAATCACTTCCCTTGGAAGAACCTAGCCCAGCACTGTTGAGGTCTTCTCTTGGCGGAGAATCTCCGCCATGGTTGCGGTTTGGATGTTCCAAACGCTACTTGGTAGAAAGATCAGAGGCTTAGACAAAATTGAGCTCATCCTTTTTCTCGCTTTGTTGGTACCAAAAGTCAGCTCTCTCTGGGAGTCATTTACAAGACACAGAACAAGCATACAAACACAAATGCTACTAGTAATCACGACAGTAATAATGATGATAGCAACAATAATAGTAATACACGTAACATAAATAGTCATCATGACATCAATAATGAGAATAATAGCAATAATAATAATAGTGATAAAAATGACAAACAAATGAAAACATGAAAAACAACTGGCCTCCGACTTGGCAGGTCTTGCTTCGTGTGTTGGGTGCCACGCATCTCATGGGCTGAGAGCTTGGACGCGGATCAGGGGGGGGTGGTTCTTGGGTTTGTGCAGCTTTTTGATTTATGGATGGCTTGAAGGGAAACCCAGTTGCCCAGTGGTATCCTTTTTTTCCCACTTTTTGTTGGGTTTTAGGTGCCCCCTTTTATAGTCAACCAACCAAAAAGGATGCCCTTTTCTCCGGGCATCTGAGGAACTCACTTGGCATTCTGGTAAGGATCTACTGCATGGACGAAATCCTGCACTACCCAGCAAAGCTTGGGATGATTCGATTCCCCTATAAATACCAACAAATAATGGTCCGGACCCTTGTTTTTCTTGGGTGGTGCAGGATTTTACAACCATCCAGAGTACCTAATTCTTTTTGTTTTAAAGCTAGCTCTTGCTCCTTGGGGCTTTGGAGCAAATTTCTTCCATGGGTCCACCCGTGGTGACTTGACGAGGTGCGAAGGGTGCCCTTCTCTCAGAGTACCGAATCGTTTTTTTTCCGAATCATTTGCCATCGGGGCCACCAGAATTCAAGGTCAAAACCCATTTGGCCAAAATCAGAACTCACTTCGCCAGTGAACCTCCAATTCAATCCAACCATAGGAAGACTAAACTGGGCGAATTCAGCTACCAACCAAAAAAGACCCCAAAACGGTTTTGACGGCTGCCATTTGGGCTCTGGTTTGAGCCAGATGTTTGGATGGAACTTAGCATTCCCTAAAATTTCCACGTACCTCAGACTTGTTGCGGGAGAGGGAGTGTGTTGAAATTTGTTCACGGCCACTGGAAATTCACTCGATTCCAGCGCTTCCATGTGGGAAAAATCGTCAAAGTGTCAGATATTTTTCTGTATACCCGTCGCCCCACCCCCAACCCCTGCCCCCCCCCCCCCCCCCCCCCAGTTTTTTTTTTGGGGGGGGGCTTCCAAAAAATGGCACGGCACAAACATGGAACCGACTAGCCGCAGAAAAGAGCACGACAACGCAGGTTGCAAATCGAGCACTTGAAAAAGAAAACAAAACGTCCCTTATGAGTGAGGAGGTTTCCTTTAAAGGGAACCCTGCTGTTAAGGGGACTTGCATGGCTTTGGTGGGCGCAAACACCATGGCAAAGCTAACCGCCACTGCCCTCCCCAGTTTTCATCGTGAGTAGCTTGTGCCCAACAAAACTGGTTAAGGTGTGGTACAATACCACATGGTTGCCCTTTTACTAAAGTGATGATGCGAGTATAGTTTTAAGTCCTGCCCTACTGTCCACCAACATGGAACCCGCCAGAGGTTCCATTTGAAAAGAAGACAGTTTTTCAGGACCCCGAAACGTCAGGTTCCTTGGCAACATGGATGGACGAACTCTTGCACCGCCTAAGAAACCCTGGAATGATGATTCCCCTGTATATTCGGAACAAACCATGGTTTCCCATGGTTTGAAAGGTGGTGCACGCGAATTTCGTTCATCCACGGTAGGTTCACCGTCAAACGTTGTCCACCATTCATCAATATTCCTGCCCAAATGACCATGAGTAAAGCTTTCCATGTGGTGAAAGCTGTATCTGTTTTTGTCTCTCCAATGGTCATTCCATGTTTACCGAACGTTTTGATCAACCCCCATATCACCTTCATCACCATGCTTTGGCTGACATGCTTGGTTGACTTTTGCTTTTGCCCGAGAGAAATTGACCTATCAGGAATGGGTTCAGAGGTTCCCATATGGATGCATACCCAGAGTCTCCATGGACCCTGAAAAAATGGGTGTCATGCACCCCCTTTCTGTTGGGATCTTTGAGCCCATTTTTGAAGGAGCAGAAGGAGACTCCAGGTGGTTTCCTTCAATAACACACCATCCAACTGGTGGTGTCCTTTAAGGGGACCCCGAAACGGTTCATTTCCTCATTCCCTATCGCACCAGCAAGATGGCCAGCCATTGTTCAAGGGTCGGATTCGGAGACTCCAGGTACATCGGCCAAAGGAAAACGACCGGTGGTTCTCCTTTTGGTTTTCTTTTCAAACCACCAAGAAGGTGTGCCCTCATTCACAAAAAGACACGCACATACTGTGGATGGGCAAAATCCTGCACCACCTAAGAAACTCTGGAATGATGATTTGATGATTTCCCTGCACAGACCAATCAAAAAAGGCGTCCCACGGTTGTACAGTGGTGCGACATGGATTTCTTCCATCAACAGTATGACGCCCATATGGGTATGGGTCAAAATTAAAGCACCAGAAAAACCGCCGGTTAAATCGTCCATGACTCCATTTGCCAATTTGGGGTTACCCTACTGTGGATGGACGAAATCCTGCACCACCTAAGAAACCCTGGAATGATGATTCCCCTGTACATGCCAACAAACAACGGTTTCCCATGGGTTCCAAGTGGTGCGAAATGGATTTCGTCCATCCAAAGCCAGGAGGCATAGATATTCAGCCGTTCGTGCTCTTCGAGGCCTGGCCGTCGTGCTTTTCCTCGGGGGCGTGACGGCCTCGGTGGGCTTCCTGGTGTCGCGCCCCGCCCTCAGCCGGGTCGGCCGGGTCGTTTGGGGGGGGGAAGGTTTCATGGCTGGGAGGGGAGGGGGGAGGGGGACCAAAAGAAGCCAAAACATTAAACCCTTAAGGATGAGTTGGGCTCCCTTGTCCTTTTAAGAGATGGGTATTTGGTAGATGAAACCACCAGGTAAACCAGGAATCGCCATCTATTTTTCGACCAAAACAACCAACATGGACACCTATGATGGCAGAACCGTGGTGGTGCCTGTCTCGTGGTGGCTAGCCTTTGCAGTTTGGTTTTTGGGTTTGGTTTTTGTTTGGGCTTCGTTTGTTTTAGGTTGGTTTGAAGGCGAAACAACCGTTGGGAAAAAGAAAAGCAACAAAAACAAGGAACCTACAAGGTTTGTTTTTTGAGGGTTCCATTTGTTTTAGGTTGGTTTGAAGGGGAATCAGCAGGAAAACCACCAGGGAACCTACAAGAGCGGGGCGGGTTGAAGGTTGGTTCGCTGTAAAGTAGGTTCACCAAGAGGTACCCTCACGATCTAAATCCGTTCGGTGTGAAGGAAGCGTGTCTTGGCTCGACTCGACCTTCTCTGAATTCTCCAAACCAATGCGTAGTGCATTCTAGGCAAGCCGCTAGCCTGGTTTTTAGTACCTCTAGGTTTTACACAATGGTCCCCCTTGCCTGCTATAGTGGCTTGCCTGGAAGCATCTGGGGATTTCGTTGGCAGGTTGCTTGGTGGATTTCGTCCGTCGACAGTACCTCCAAAACCCATCCCAGAGTGGGTAAATGGGTTAGGTGTCCCTTTTGGTTATTTTCGTAGAAAAATAGATGGGCCTGGTTGATTTGGTACCCTATTTTGTGACTTTAAAAGGAACACCAAACAGAAAGCCACCCAAAACAGCGGGCCCCTAGAAAAGCGAAACCTATTTATAAGTATCTCTTTGTGGAGATAATCCGGTGGTTTTACCCGAGTGGCTCACCAGTTGGCCGAACACCCAACAGCTTAAGTATTTTCGTCCTGGAAGTGTTTCCTTCTTAAGAGCACTTGTTTATTGTCCACTCTTTTTTAGGAGGGAAGCCAGCACTGGACGTTTTTTCTGGGGCACGTCTTCGAAAATGAAGGAGTGCGTGATCTTACCCTAGCGCCAAGAGGACCCTAAATATGAGTTGGCCTTTGACCACCAAAGACACGAAATGATGAGGTCCAAGGGGCTAGGGTTAGCGCACCTAGACTCTCCTCGAAAAATGGTCGGTCATTACCCAAAATCATGGGGTCAAATGGGCCCCTTCTTCTAAGGGTCACCAAAAAAAGACTCTAGGTCTGTTTTTGTTGGTAGTGCCCTAAGCATCTTGTTGGTCATTACCCAAACGAAAGATTCGGGTCATCCCATTCTTAAAGGGTCATGGAGAGCTGCTTCCATCGGAGGATTGATCACGATCCGTCCATGGGCTCGTTTTTCGGTTTGGAGACCCAACTCCTTTTGGGCTAGCCTAGGAGCCCCTTGGACCGATTTCCTTATTTGAGGTCTTGGTCAAAGGCCAACCATCTTCTGATTTTCCCCTGGTTGGTTGGTTCTGGGAACCGACTTCACTGGACACATGTCCTCATTTTTCCCAGTAAACGAAAGAGCAAATGTCTATGGGGTTGATTCCCCATTCTTTTTAACCATCATCGTCATTTTCAAGAACCAGCTGTTTCCCTTGGGTTTTGAGGTTGATTTCCTGAAAAGAAATTCGGATCCCTGGAAATGGAAATGGAAGGTACCTTCCCAGCTCCAATTCGATGTATCAAAGGGGCCGGTTCTCATGAACCGCCAGGTTTTGCGACCGGGTCCCTCATTCACCGATTCCCGTCTTCCACTGAAAGCCGAAGCTGATCGGAGCCTCTTGGCCTAGAAACTGGAGGATGACTCATATCCAATGCCCGGGACGAATTCCCAGGTCGCGAGTTCACGCGCTTCGTGGATGGACTGGCACCCCCGCCCGGGGCCCACGGAATGACTGGCTTTCCATTGGCTTCTTGTTCAGCCTGCCGGCTCAAAACAGGGCGCCCTGAAAACGCCAAAAACAAAAACACATAAACTCACTTCCTGAGTTCTGTTGCGGACTTGGGTCCCTGAGAAAGCACACAACATTTGTTTTTGACACAGAAGGCATGGCATAGTTCCCTATAAGCCAAAGTACGTGGCCGTGCCAGTTTCTGGCTGACCTTGCCTCTGCCAAACTTAACTGCTTCACAAAGCACACACTGCTTCTTGCCCGGTTAACTCACTTCCTGAGTTCTGTTTCGGACTTTAGTCGCATTTGGGGATACCGCCTGGGCCTTTTTTCTAGCTGCTATTTGGTAACGGACCTTTGGACTTTAAGCGGGCTTATCGAATTGGACCCGCAAAAAGTGTTAAACTTGTTGCAGAGGGGTCAACAGCAACAACCAAGGTTTCAGGCTACCAAATTGTGTGGGGAAGGGGGGGCGTCCTCCTTGCGACAGTTTACTCTGGGAGTAAGTCATAGCTTAGGTTTATCTATTTGCCTCTGACCCCCTGCCGGCCATTTTTGGGGATGCGCCGTCTTGCAGAATGTTGCTTTTGAGGGGGATGCGTCACTAATGGACATATGATATGTTTTTTTTGTTTTTTTTTCAGAATACTCAAGCCAATGGAGGACATGGGAGCTGATCAAAAGGTCGTTCACATGGGATGACCATTCGGAGAAAAACACACTATAACGATGCAATTTCCCCCATGGCAAAAGTTGCCCGTGGCCAGGAATATTGATCAACCCCTTAAATAGTTGCAATTAACCCTAATTGCTTGAACTAATCTGAGATGTCCAAATTATGTGTCGGAACATAAAACATATTCTGAACAGCCCTAAGGGTCATGACCCCTCCAATGCACACCCCCGGACCCTCCAATGGAGAACCCCGACCAATTCCTCAAGGGCCCAATGGAAAACAACCCAAAAGCAATCCCCCCCCCCTCTCGGTTGAATGGTTGTGGGTGCGGTTGGTCAAGGGTTGGTTAAGGGTTGGCCAAGGATTGATTAAGGGTGTTTGAGTGTTTTTACCCTTTAAACCAGCATAAGAGGAAGCCACCAACACAAGGCCAACTCAGCGAAAGGAGCGCTGTTGTCCGAAGCTTCTCCGGGTACTGTGGTTCGTCCCCGCTCAGGCGAGACCCAGAAATCAGGGAAACCCAAGTAACAGGCATCATCATGCCCGGTGATTCTCGACCCCACAAAGGGTACCCACAAAACAGACACCTGGAGTCTCCATGACCCTGAAAAATGGTTTCTGACTACCCAAACGAAAAGGGTGACCCCATTGTTTAGGGGACAGAAGGAGACTCCGGGTCTCGTTTTGGGGAAATCAATGGTTTTCCATTTAACCCACAAAAAGTGAAACACTTTTTGCAGAGGGGTCGTTGCAGCAACCAAGATATGGGTGACCGAGCTGTGAGTTTCGCGCCCAGGCCGCGAGTCACTGCCGCCATTGTGCTCTTGCGGCGTGAGCAAGGCGTCTGCGCCGGGGCACCCGAGCGGTGAGCGAGCGGGAGCGGGAGCGGAGTCACTTCCATTTGGTTAAGATGCTTGTGTTTTTTCCCCGCTTGGTTTTGAAGGGAATGGACTTCACGACTGGAAGTATGTTTATTTTACGGGGGGCTCAAGCAAACAAACGGTCAGGTTAGCAATGTGGGCTCCCTAGGAGCCCCTTGGACCGATTTCATTCGCGAGACTGGAAAGGGGGTCGAAGGCCCTTCTCATATTTAGGGTCGAGGGAATTTCTGGGGGATATGGACCGCAGGTTTAATCGTCTTTGTTTCCATTTTACCGATGGGCCAACCCAGTTTGGGGTCACCCCAATGTTTGACCACCACGGCCATGTACCTGGTTGCCAGTGATTTGCTGCTTCACCGAATTCTGTACGTTCCAATCACAGTTTACTGGATGCATGGTTATCCATCCCGGTGCATTGGTGTGTGCGCACTTCACTTTACAAGACAAGCGTCAGGATGTTTTGACGGAGAGTTCAGTTTGGCTTTGACCGGCAACAGTTTGGTAAGTGGGCTACAACCTGAAGGGTTCCTTTGGTCAGGGTTGCGTCCCAACCTCAAGGTTCCAGCTTTGGGTTCCAGCTTTGGGTGCGTGTGTGTGTGTCTTTTTCTTTTGCGGGGACTTGTTCAAGGTTGGATCAGATGGCAACCAAAAAGAACACCGCCGTGTCGGGGGGCCCATCCCCTTGTTTCGACAGATTCCAGCATCACTGGAACTCACCCTCATTGGATGGTTCGAAGTAAGCCAGTTGACCCTCAGACTTCGAGCGAACCTCTAATTGACCCCCTAAAGCCCTTGTAATAGGCAAGCTTTGCTTTTCTCAGTGCTGTTCATGTTTCTTATTTATTGAGGTCCAAGTACCCTTTTGAGGGTTAAACTGCTTTAGAAGTTGCCAAGCGAAGCAGGGACGCGTAAGGCCAAACAATTAGCCATTCCCAAGTATTGCTTTAGATTGGTCAGAGCCACCGGTTTGGAGATTTGAACCCCAGTTCCTTTTCAATCGACATAGGTGAAGCCCTATGAGTTGTAGTCAGAAGTGCGATGCATTTTAGCGATTCCCAGAGCTAAGTGCTTAAACACCCCTTGCCTAACTCCCATGCTGCGGTGGTTAAAGTTTTGTTTCGTTTCAATTCTCAGTTCCCGCTACGGGGTGTAAGACGAAACCATTCCTTTGGAAAAAGCCCCAAGACGTCCACTTCCATGATTGTTGCAGGGATGGTCCTGCTGGTGCTCAGTAGGAATTCAACCGTTTCAGGATTGCTTTAAGGGAAACCATAGGGGCCTGGTTTAGAGGGGGTCATGCCTATGGAACAGTTCCAGGAGTCTCCTTCTGACCCTTAAAGTATTGGCTCATTACCCCCAAAAGCAAGATTCGGGTCATGACCAACCATTTTTAAGGGTCAGATTAGACTCTAGAAGCTGTGTTTGTGGCTTTCCTCGCTGGTTCCAAACCCCATGATTGTTGGAGGGATGGTCGGAAGGAGCTTTGGTGCACTTTGCTTGGATGTTAGGACTTCTTTTTGCCAACTTATGGAGTTTCCATTAAACCACTACAAGTTAGTCACTTTTTGCAGGGGAGCAGAAAGCAACCGAGGGAGGCTCCAGGTTCGCGCCCGCCTCGCGCATTTTTTTCTCGGCTCGGCTTCCCGATGTTCGATGCAAGGCCTTGGCTCTGGGCGCGGCAGCGGGTCTTCTTTGGCAGCTCCCTCCAGGCGACGCATGCGGTCGGGTCATGCAGACGTCCTCAGGTGTCTCACTTCCTGAGTTCCTCCTGGACTTTGAACGTTTTTGGGAAGACTATTTCAGTGGTAAACAAACAAATCCAATTGTTTTTGGCCCATCCACTCAGGAAGTGAGGTTTGAAAGCACAAGACCGGGGTAACCTCAAAATAAGACGCTGGCCCTTATTATCAGGCGGAATCTGGAATGATGGTGTGTTTGCCTTGGTCGCAAGAAGACCAACGCCGCGACTCTGTTTTTGTTCAGCAGCAATGGTACCAAAGGCCCCATCGCTATTTCGGGCCGGAGTAAACTCGCATATGCGAGTACCACGGGTCGGGGGGAGGGGGGTTGCAGGGATACCCCTCACTTCCTGAGCTGATGGACTTTAAACTTTTTGGGCTTGGACCATTTTGGTGGTAAACAAAAAAGTTCGGGGACCTTTTTTTGGCCAGTCCACTTGGGAAGTGAGACCCTGGCACTGGGACTTGCCCCGGACTTAGGTTTCGGGTGTGAAGCTCTCAGACTCACTGCATGAGATCGTGGACTTGAGTCATGGTTTGGGCGTGGGCATTCGATGATTTTGGTGGCTTAGTTCGAGGCTCCTGGACCTTTCAATGGAAGACCCGACCCCTCCATTAGACAAATTCGGAGGTTTGAGGGCCCCTTCAATACATCGAATTGGAGCCTTTGGGTAGACAAGAAGGTGACTTTTCCTGGCCAATCGATCGGAAGTAGCGATCGCAAAGGCTAGCTGCCTTGGCACCGCTGGGCCACTCGTGTGCCTTTAGAGATCTTCCAGGTAGAGGTTTGTAGCCACAGGTGTCCTTTTTAGGTTACTTTGATTAAACATAGATGGCGCTGGATTAGATGGGGTTTCTTCCATTTACCAGGCCATCTATTTGTCCAAATTCTGTCTATCCTCTGGGAATCCCCCGCGATCGCTTCTTGAAAAGAAGGATGCCTGCAAAGAATGCGTGGTTGTTGTTGGAACACATTTTTTGCATTGTTGCTTGTTGTGGTTGAAATCCAACCGCTTAACTGCTAACATTTAAATGTGTGCGTCCTTTGATCACCACTGGCCATGGCCCCAGGCAATGTTTTCGCAGATGCTTACCCAGGGATCCTGAAAGATACATTTTGCAACCATTTGAAACGTGTTGCTTTTTCCACCAAAAGAGAGTCGGACACCACCATTTGCAAGGCGGAGTGTTCAGGTTTTTTTCATGCATCCGGCTGCCTTGAGCAACCTGGATGCCTGCACTCCTGGTAGCTCCATCCATTTGGATACAGCTCCGAGCCTGGATCCCTTCCACCCAGCCCCAGTAGAAAATCAACCCCTGCTGTGGATGGAGTTTGCTCCATTTCGCAGGTTGGGATTGGTGAAGCTTGTCCCGTTTTTTGGGAGGGTTTCATCCATCACCGGTGCGATTTCGTGGATTGCGTCCACCGACCCTAGGAGCCTTTTGGATTCGAAAGATGAGTTGGCTTTTGACCCCCTACCGTTTTTTGGCTATAGGAGGGTTCCTCTACTAAAATCGACGACAAAGAAAAGTTGGTACCATGTTTCCTCCTTCTCCACTGGAGGACCCAGACTATTACCCAAAAACACGCCCAAAAAAAGGACCAAAAGCCTTACCCAAAAGCCGCCGCAGGGGGCCGATTTCTATGTCGAGAACCCCCCCATCTGATTGGTCCAGAAGCGCGTTACAAGGGGGCTCGGACTATGAGGAGCGTTTGAGAGGGTCTCCGCCTTTGGTCCCCAGGCCTGGCGGTCGTCGCCAAAGCTGGGGGCGTACTGCGGAAGCCTTGGCTTCGCTGCGGGTGGGGCGTAGAACTGACACATTGGGGGGGGAGGGCTGTAGCAAAAGGGGGGGGGGTGGCTAAAGACGCGTTCCCTTTGGTTTTTATCTTTAAACCAACTCCCAAAGGCACGGTGGGTTGATGCTTAATTTGCAAAGTGAAGCAACTTGGGGCAAAAAGGCATTTATTGGACATTTGGTTGGATTGTTTCAAACGAATAGTTGTTGTTGAGGGTGCCCACTTTTGTTTTTTTGTTTTTTTCAATTCCGTTTGAAAACACAAAAAAAGTGCAGGTGAAGGCCACAACGAGTGCGACACCCTTTTACTTGTCCTTGCAGTCATCACGAAATTAGATAACAAGGGCAAGCCACCACCTTTTTTGACACACAAGGCATGGCATAGTTCCCTATACCCTCTTCGGCTTACATTGGACATGTCCTTGCCAGTTTCTGGCTGACCTTGCCTCTGCCAAACTTCACTGCTTCACAAAGCCACCACCATCCGAAACGTGGGTTTCCGCCTTCTGCTAACATGCAAAAAGAGTCACTAGACAAGGTCACTGCGGGATCGGCCCATGGCCTCAGGCGATGTGTTTGACGACTGTGGATTTTCAGAAATGGTTTCTGCCTAGAGTCTCCTTCTGACCCTTAAAAGATTCGGTCTCATTACCCAAAAGAAAGGGGTCAAATGGGCCGAATTTGTAGGGGTCATGGAGACTCTGGGTGAAGATATCGTAGCTAGAAACTTAGTGTCTGATTTCGCCATCGGAAGCAGCTCCGACCGAGACTCGAATGGATGCGGGTTACATCAAGGCTTTGTTTGGGTTGTGGGAGTTTGAACCTGGACATCGATAGGGGCGCAACCGTCAGGTTGGTGGTTTGGAGCCCGGTGTTTTGGATTTGGCTTTTGTCGAATGAGAAACCCTTCCTTAACCACCAAACCACCAATTCAAGCCCCTAGTCTCTAAGGGTGGGGGTCGGAATGGAGAGCGGTTCCCGGGGCCACACCCAATAGCTAGAGCAAAAACCGCTGAGATCGACCCCGTGGAAGCCTGTGATTTCTCGTTTTTTGTGTTTTTTTTTGGTTGACCTGTTGCTTGGGTGTTTTTTTTCTAAATGGCAGGCCCGTTACTTGGGTGTTTAAAAAAAATGTCGACCCCCTTGCTTGAGTGTTTTTTCCCCAAATGGCGGAGGGCGGATTTTCTAAATGGTGGACCCCTTGCTTGGGTGTTTTTCCTAAATAGCGGATCCCTTGCGTGGGCGGATTTTCTAAATGTTGGACCCTTACTTGGGTGTGTTGTTCCTAAATGGCGGATCTTTTGCTTGTGTTGTTTCTTAAATGGCGGATCCCTTACTTGGGTATTTTTTTCTAAATGGTGTCTTCCTTGGGGCACTCAGAACTGCAACATTTGCTTCCCTAAGGGTCTCGATTGTTTTTGGGCCCTCAAAAGTTGTTTTCAAGGGCCCCTGAGGGGTCGGGGTTCTCCATTGGAGGGTCCGGGGGTGTGCATTGGAGGGGCCATGACCCTCAGGGTTGTTTGTTTTCTGAAGTGAACCCCTTTTAGAGTTGGTGTCTTCCTTGCGGCACTCAGAACTGGAACATTTACTTGGGTGTTTCCTCAGTGAACCCCTTTTTGAGTCTTGCGATGTTTGTTCCTGGCCCAGAGGCTCCTGGGGCTTTCAATGGAAGACCCGACCCCTCCATTAGCCACCCCGGAGGTGTTTGCCAAAAACCACGGAGGTGTTTGGGGGTCTCAAAACCTGGCTGTGTGAGGGCCCCTTCAATACATCGAATTGGAGCCTTTGGGGGAGGCAAACGGGACATCCTTGCCATGGAACGATTCCTTTGCGACAGCCCCACGATCTTTGAGGCTGGGGGCGACAGCAGTGGGCCTCTTCTTTGGCACCTTCGAGGCGACGTGGCCAGGGGTTCACCGAAAGATTTTTCTGAGAAAAAAACAACAACAAAAACGAGGACGTGGTTTGGATTGGTGGTTTGGGATTTGAACCCCTGGCTTTTTTGTAGTGGGGACATGGCCATGAATCCCCTCCTTAACCACCAAACCACCAATCTACACCAATGAGAGGGAAGCTGACTGTTCGATCATTTTCAGGTTTCCAAGGGGATGAGATCCCTCGCTTGGAAAAACACGGGTTTTCTCCACTGGGCTTAAGCAAATGGAAGTTGTTTTTCCTTTTGTTTCTTCTTTGTTTATAACACAAAAAGCAAAACATGAATTAAATGACTGGAGACACGTTTTAGTATCATCATCGTCGTCATCGTTATCATCATAATCAGTATCATGATTATATATTATTATGATGATCATCATTATCATTATCATCATCATTATTATTATTATTATTATTATTATTATTATTATTATTATTATTTCCAGACGTATCCGCAAGACGCTTTGGGAAGCCAAAAGACGGTGATAGACAGGGGACTCACAGGCCCCTCCAAAGGGTCTGATGAATATTATGTTAATGTTTGTTAGACAAGTTTCCATTTTTGTGACAAGCTTAAATCCAGGGGTGTCTCGACTTAAACCCAGGGGTTTCCCTTTTTTCTTAGGTAGGTTTCAAGGTTTTTAGAGTTTAGTGGTTTGGTTTCCATTTAACCCACAAGTTAGTCTTTTTGCAGGGGATCGGACAGACAGCACAGCTAGGTAAGTATAGACAGCGGGTTTTTTGGTACCCTTTGAGGATGGACAGCTTGGGTGGGTTAAACCAGATCAATGTTCGTTCTGAGCGAGTGCTTTGTTACCCGGAGATGGAAGGCGAATCGGGATTTTGTGCCAGACCCTTTATCTTGCTGGTTCTCAGCAGGGAATGAGTTGGAATGACCCCAACAAACCATCCCTTGTGGCTTCCTTCGAGGGGATCCCGCTTATTCCCAACACCCTAGGTCATTCCTACTCAGCACCAGCAAGTTATCTAACACTCGGATCATGAGGATCCAACTGGCAAATTGCACCAAAATGGCGACCCGGCCATTTTTCATGAAGGGTGCCGCGGAGTATCCCTTTTCTCCGATGTCGGATTTTGGCGCAGATCCGGATCCCACCCTCCCAACTTACGATAGATTGATTCGTTCAAGTACAGGGAATGACCCAAAGAAGGTCTCGTGCCCCCTCACTCAACTGTGTCTTTTTTCAAGGGAAGCCAACAGGACCCGCAGAGCATGTTTCTCGGTCCCCCCCCAAAAAGGCGGACACCTAGAGTCTCCACGACCCTTGAAGAATGGAAGAATGGGGTCATGACCCCTTGCTTTTGGGGTAATGAGCCCTATTCTTAAGGGTCAGAAGGAGACTAGAGTCTCCATGACGCTCAAAGAATGGGGTTATGACCCCTTTCAGAAGGAGACTCCAGGCACACCCAAGTTTGTCACTCTTCTACCTGGAGTCTCCTTCTGACCCTTAATACAAATGGGTTCATTACCCAAAAGGAAATGGGTCATATGACCCCAGTTTTAAAGGGTCAGAAGGAGGCTCCAGGTATGGACCCCCCTTTTTCTCACCGAGCCGACGCCAGCGCCGCCCGAAACCCGAAACCCGAAACGGGAGCAGATCGGATCGGCGAAGCGAGGAGTTCCGGGGCCCGCTGCTGGAGCCCTCGGGGGGCCGATGGCTGCTGGTCTTGCCCGAGACCTCCGAAAAGGCGAAGCTGCAGGCGGCGTCTCCGGGTCCTTCGGTTTCTTGTGGACCACCCAGAGGCTCCAATTCGATGTATGGAAGGGGCCCGATTTAACCGCCAGGTGTTGAGACCGGGCTTTGACTATGACTCAGGTGGTTTACTCGGACATGTGCTTTTGCCTCAACGTAAGGGAGTGGTTTCCTCTTGGTTTCCCTTCAGACCAACCCCAAAAAGGGGCGCACACACGCACACGCCCCAAAACGACGTCAACCCCTGTACTCACTGCCAGAAAACGTGACCAAACTTTTCGTTTGCCACTAAAACTAGCAACCCAAAACCCCAAATGTGAATTAAAATCCAAAACGGAACTCAGGAGCCATGGACAGGAGCGAAGCCTTCACAAAAGTGCGTGAGAAGAGTTGTTTTATTTTCTCCCACCCTCGAAAATGGTGAGTTTTGGAAACCACAAAAATAGGGGTACCATCCAAAAAGACAGTCATATTTTCTTAGTTCTCCCTGTTGCTTTTAAAGGGAGTCTATCACTATCGGACATATTATCTCGCTTTTTCTAAAATGGAGGAATACAACTGGTTTGGTGAATTCCCCATTCAAAAATACTCTTGGAGATCACGGACCTCAAAGTTTGTGGGAAGATCATGTTAGAGGCAGACAGAAAGTTTGGACTGTATTTGGCCAACCCATTCAGGAGACAAAACGGGAATTTTCAACGGGGCGTCCCATTCGTTTGTATCAGCACTGCAAAACCGGGACACTGAACGGCTCGACTTTGCACGAGGCGAGCTCCTCGCGGAAGAGACGCTTCATTGTGTCTCCTTCGTACCCTTTGACATGGGGCCACCTGCCAAACATAAGGCTAGGTCCCCCAGTAGTGTTTTCTTTGGGGGACTAAAACAAACTACAGGAAAAAGGGTGCCCTTATTCTAACCTCTCTACTGGATGACCTAGAATGGGTCATGCTTGGAGGGTTTGGGACTTAGCTAACTGGTTATCGACCCTGGATCCAACCCACTTGCCATAGTTGTTTGCCACGTATAACCAGGGTTTCTCACCCCTTATTTTTGAAGGCAGGGGAGTGTGGCAGTTCACGTTTTGCTGTCTGTTGATCGTGTGCTGCAGGTCTGTACCTAGAGTCTCCATGACCCCTAGAAAACGGGGTCATGACCCCTTTCTTTTGGGCAATGACCCCATTGTTGAAGGGTCATGGAGACTCTAGATAGCCGTTTTTTTGTTGGTGTGTTGTCGGGTCATGTCATGTAGACTCTAAAATAGCCGTTTTTTTTTGGTTCGGGTCATGGAGACTCTACCTGGAGTCTCCGTGACCCCTAGAAAAAGTGGGCAATGACCCCATTTTATAAGGGTCATGGAGACTCTAGATAGCTGTTTTTTTGTTGGTGTGTTGTCGGGTCATGTCATGTAGACTCTAAAATAGCCGTTTTTTTTGGTTCGGGTCATGGAGACTCTACCTGGAGTCTCCGTGACCCCTAGAAAAAGTGGGCAATGACCCCATTTTTTAAGGGTCATGTAGACTCTAGATAGCCTGTTTTGTTTTTTGTTGTTGGGGTCATGAAGGCTTTGGGCAGTTCAGAGCTTTTCATCTCAGTTTCTTCGACACGGTTCGCCAGGCGCTGCGTGTGTGGACCAAGCTGAAGTTGGGCGCGGCTGAGGCACCGAACGGCGGATGCGACGAAGTGCGGCTGAGTCCCATGCCGGGTGTCGATGTTGATTTCCCCTGATGGTGTTAAAGGGAATTTATGACTATACCGGAAGTTTTTTTTAAAGGATATACATGTCCGCAAATGCCTGCTTTCATGGATATCGTTGGGAAACATGTTTCCTATTTTTGCTTAATGTGGTTTAGTGGTTGAAATCCAACCACTTAACTGCTAAGATTTAAATCGTTGCTTCCCTTCTTCCAACGTCAACCAAGTGTCGATGTTGAAGTCCCTTGTCTAGGGTCGCAGCTAGGTGCCCTTTTACCTTTTCTTTTTTGGGGGGAGGGTTCCCTTACTAAACTAGACTACAGGGAAAAGGGTACCCTTATTCTAACCTCTCTACTGGAGGGCCTAGTTGTTGGTTTTAAAGGGAACTTATCACGACCGCAGAAGCGTTTTGTTTTTCAGGGGACATATCCGCAAATGCAGAGAGCTAGGCATGTGTTTTGGCGATGCGTGTGGCACCTGCAGCACACCGAACTTGAACATTTGCAATTCTTTCCCGACAGAATTGTGCAAGAAAGAGACTCTTGCTGTTGCCCTAGTCTCCAAAAACTGGGACTTGGGGGGAGAAACATCTTCAAACCAAACTGACACGCGCCCATGTTCACACAGCAAGTGCGCCCGATTGCTTGCCGTTTGTTGCTTGCCCATTTGGTTGCGTGTCTCTCGAGAATCAACATGTGTTTGTTTCTTCCTTTTGGTGTTATTGGTGAGAACCTCTGTTGTTGGCACGTGTTTACACTTATGTGTTTCTGGTTCTGTTCATGTTGAGTGAAGGGGTGCACAAAAGATGGAAAGTTAAGTTCGGATGAATCCAGAGCACCATACTGATTAAGACAGTTCCCCTGCCGGATTTTTACTGTATGATTCGCATGTTCCTCCTTTCAATCCAGTGGTTGTCCCTTTGTTGTATTTGCTTGGGTAAAACTTGAGAGTCAACCAACAATGCTTGGCCTTTATTTGGTTGGATCTTGCGACTTTAATCTTTTGCGAAATGATGATTTTTCACACAAAACAGCATACAGTTGAGCTGGGGCGCCAGCAGATATTCTGCCATCCAGCAATTGCATGCGGGAGCACTCTATTAGATATTCTTGCACAGGAAGTTGGGTGAACCAGATGAGTGTCGTTTCGGGGATCGACTAGGGGACTCAGTTGTTCAGTGGCACCCTTTTTCCTTTTTTTTGGTGGCGGCCCCACTAAACATGGTCTTCCCCAAAAAGGGTTCCCTTTTTTCCAGGGTCACTGAACAACTGAGGGGATTGAGTCTCAGATCAAAGGAGCGACTTGATTTGGCTGTGCAGGTGGCGGTGGAGCGAGGGGCACTCTACATCGGCCGAGGGGTCTTGGACAGCCTTTTGAACTACTTAGGCCCGAAGCAAAGGGCCGGGGCGGAGACCACGTCTAAGGGTCGCAGGTTCCTGGAAGTGGGTTTGGTTTGGACTGAGTGTTCCTTGAGGGGCCAGGGGGTCTGGATTGGAGGGGACTGCATTTTGAGCATGATCAAGCAATTCCGGTCGACTGAACGCAGGATAGGGATTGAAGGTCATTTGTCGGAAGAGTATATAATAGCTTCAGTATGCATGTGTGTCTGTTTTTGAGGGTCCACAAAACATTGTGTTCCTTTGGCTGCCCTTAAAAACAGGCTCTTTTTAATTTGGTTGAGGTTGATGCCCCTACACTGCGGTTGATACGGGTTGAGCCCCGCCGATTCCCCAATCCCTATAGAGGCTAATAGCGACTAAACAAGTCTATGAGGGGCTAACTGTGGATGGCCGAAATCCGTTCGCACCACTTTGAAACCATGGTTGAAACCGTGGCTTGTTTTTCGTATTTGCAGGGAATTATTCCAGGGTTTCTTAGGTGGTGCAGGATTTTGCCCATCGGTAGGTTTCCTTTCCAGGCCCATTTGCAGGGGGTCCCCTCAGTAACCATAGGAAGTGTGCCAGATGACTGGCTCTGGCTCGCTCAGAAACTTCCATTTGCTTTAGAGTATTTATTTGCTGGTTTTACAGGGAACCTATCACTACTGGACATTTTTTTTACAGGGGTCGAAAAACCAAATGGAAGGAAAGCCGTGTTTCTTGCCTCATGTGTTGCAGCCGTGGCAGGCGTCGTAGCCGCAAATCGTAGCAGATGGACCTTCGTCGAGCAAACGAGGGCGTTTGTGAAGCTCGTTTGCCTCCCAGAACTTCCGAAGGACAGGTTCAATCAGCCTACAGTCTCCATGACCCTTTGAAGATGGTTGGTCATCACCCGAATCTTTCTTTTGGGAAATGACCGACCATTTTTAAAGGGTCATGGTGAGTCTAGGAGCACCTTTTCTGAAAGTCATGTGCAGCAATTGCCCACGTCACGCAGTGTGCCATTAAGCAAAGTCAACAGGCGCCATGGTCGACCAAACTGCACTTTGGTGCATTTTGCTTGGATGTTAGGACTTTAACTTTTTGCCAACGAATTGGTTTTCCATTAAACCACTAAAAGCTCAGCTTTTAGCAGGGGAGCAGATTTCGCGACCGAGTGCACACGGCGGCGTTGGCGCTTGGGTTTCCTCGAGGCACGCTGTGGGTCTCCGGCAACGCTGTGGAGGTTGTGGAGAAAGTGGTCGAGGCGTTTTTTTTTTTCTTTTTCTTTTTTTTGTGAAGGGCTATGGAGACTCCAGGTATCCCTTCATTGTCGCTTTGGGAAATATGAACCCCACCTGGATCGCCAGTTGCTCTTGTTTTCTCCATGCACTTTACCCAAACCGATCGCAACAGTGACTGCAAAACATAGCAACTTGGCTATCTAGGAGTTGGCCAAATCCGACCTTGACCCTTTGGTTTTGCCCTTTCGGGCCATGTTGAGTCATGGCCCCAAAAAGTTAACCTTTTATTTCTGGGTCCCTTGCGCAAGTGAGTACGACTTGAGTGTTCTAACTTGCTGGTGACCTTGGCTGCAACGGCAAGTATTTCCGGGGCTACACCCACGTTTCCCTGAAGGTAGAGGGAATGCAAAACATGAAGGAAGCAGCATGAAGGAATGCAAAGCATGACCATCTAAACGAATCTGTCTGAAGTAAACCAACATCAGGAACATATGTCCATCCCTCGTGGTTTCCTTTGCACCCAGAAACGTCCCAAAAGAAACATGGACAGAAACTGTGGATGGACGAAATCCATTTCGCACCACTTAACAAACCCTGACAAAATTCGATTCCCCTGTAAAGGCCAACGCACAATGGCTTGACAGGATTCCGTCCAGCCACAGCAGTTTGGGTCAGGGTGGACCTGAAATCCTTGGCTCTGGCAACTCCCACGGGGGTGGGCGGGGAGGGGGGGGTTCCTGGCAGAAATCCCAAGTCCGTGGTGTCCAATCAAAAAGACACACGGCCCAAGCAAGGAACCTTGGTCTTCCAAGGACCCGCAAATCCAGGGTCCTTCTTGATTTTGATCTTGGCTCAAAACGGAAATTCGGCCAAAGGCCTGCTTGTCCAAGGTCCTGGAAGATCCAGGGAAATGTTGACGCAGGATAGATGGAGCCCCTGGCCAAATTTTCTGAGGGGTGTCCAACTTTGGGTGGACGGCCTTCACTTTTCGGGACACCTCCCAACTGTGAATTTGCAAGCGTTCTACTTAAATTCGGCGCCAGCATGAAGAATTGCTATAAACCCAATGGCCCCAAGCATTTGTCAATTCCACGGGCCAAGCGAATGGATGCCCACCCTTGGGATGCTCACCAGGCAAGCAGATTCAGGTGTGATACAATACAAACCCCCAAAAAGTTCAGCTTTCATTTGGGTTTCCCAATCAAAAGCCACTCCTTAAAAGGGGTACCCCCAGAGGCTCCTGGGGCTTTCAATGGAAGACCCGACCCCTCCATTAGTGTTTGGGACCCGGTCTCAAAACCTGGCTGTTTGAGGGCCCTAAATACGGGAGCCTCTGGGCCGGCAAAAAGACACACCGCCCTCCTCTAATGGGCGGCGTTCTAAGTTGCATGTCAATCTGTGTTTCAAATACCCAAGCCAAAACCACGGCGTCGTGCCCAGTTCGGCTTTCGCGTGTTTGAAGGGAAACCAAGGGGACCCCCATTCCTTTCGGGCCCACGTGCATTTCGGGGACTTAAATGTCCTGGATTTGGCATCACATGTTGGACATGAGCTTACGTTGTGATGTTCAAGGGGGGCGCGTCCTCTACTAATCAACCAGGGTTCATTTGGGCAAATACAGAGCTCTAGGGGCGAACGAGCGATGCCCTTGATGAAGGTTCCTTACTTGGGAATTTCTCGCTTTCGGGGTTAAGATTCGGTTTGTCAAGAATCCTGGATCCCAAGAGCCCACAAAAAGTCCTTAAAAGACCTGAAACGATACGTGAGTCCATTTCCCTGTATGCTAACCTCGGGCATCACCCGAGAAAATTCCCAGAGGAGAATTGGTGACCTAATACTGTGCTTGCCTGCAACTGGGATCCGTTGGAACATAATATGGCCTTGGGACCCAAAAGCCTGACGCCCGGCTGCGTTCGTCCCGCTCAGGCAGAGTAGCCTTAAGGCTTGGACGGGTGGGGAACTTGCGATCGGTGCAATGAATAGGACAATTACTCAGCGAGTTTTCGGTTTGAATGAGCCGGTGTTGGGATTCCCGAATAAAAGGAAACCATACTGTGGATGGACGAAATCCTGCACCACCTAAGAAACCTTGGGAATGATGATTCCCCTGTAAATACCAACAAACAATGGTCCTCCATTGTGTCTTGGGTGGTGCAGGATTTTGTCCATCCACAGTAGGATGGATGGTTTTGGTTGGGATCATTCCGTTTCTCATTGCAGAGAACCAAGGGGAAGAGGTTAAGAACGGCTCGAAAGACCGGGTCGATATACTTCACCAGGATTGTTGCTCCCCTTTTTGTTTTTTTTGGTCTTTCTTGGTATTCCCTTTGTTTTCCACTAACCAGGCAAAAAAGATATATTTTTTGCTGGGGTCAAGTATCAGTTCTTTTGTTTGCTTAAGAATATCTGAAACATGTTCTGCTGGTTTTGAAGGATATCTATACCTACTGGATTTGTTCCAGGGCACGTGAGCAAAATGTAAGTCAAAGTAAGCATCCTGAAGGGTATCAAGTCACTTCCGCGCGCTTTCCAGTTAAGCCGCCATTTAGATTCGATATTTTCCCTCAATGGATATCACTTGAAATTTTGAGGGGACCCTCTTTTTTGGGTGGTTTCAAAGAGAAGCCAACCATATATTGGACCAGCATCAAACGGGTATTTTCTGGAATGGGGGCACAATCTCAGGCAGAAATTTATCAAATGGTCGAAGTATGCTCTGCCCCGGTCGTGTCAGATAGCCCTGAATGATTGTATACGGGCAGGTTTGTGTTGTTTGGAGTTATTCCGTGTTGGGGGTGATTTAAATGGAAACCAACATGTCTCTCCATCTTGAAACATGACATGCCGATCGACAACGGTGGAATGCCCCAATGATCCTCGGGCGTATGGTTTGATTGAATGGAACCCGGCAAACCAGAGTCGCTCTGTGGTTGGTTCCGCAAACCTGCGTAATTCCATGAGAACCAACAAGATATGGGTGTTCCCTCCCACGTGGTTGTGAAGGTTGTACAGGCCCTATGTAGCTGGCAGACTACATATGAAGCAGAATCAGAACATATATATGTGTTTGGGTCTGCCCCAGATGTGGGCAGACCTTGCGAGCGTACCTTTTGAGCATGCCTTTTGAGTACGTATGAAGGGATTTCGTGGGTTGAGAAAACACATGTAGGACATGTCTTGTTTGCCTTTCGCTTGTGTTCCGTGACCTTGGTGTTACATGACTGTTGTTTTCACAGGACCTAGTTCACATGATGTGCGCACTGATCCCATTTCACTGTAAACCAACTACATGGGTACCCTCCCATCCACTAACATGGAGCCTGACGGAAGGCAGGGACGGGACATGCGCTTGAAGCCGGGTCAAATCTGGCGTTACTTGCTGACTGCAAGAACCAAGGTTCACTTTGGTGCATGTTGCTTGGAGGTCAGGACTTTAGCTTTTTGCCAACTAATGAGTTTTCCATTAAACCACTAAAAGTTGTTTTTTTTGCAGGGGAGCAGAAAGCAACCAAATTTCAGATCTAACTCCAAACCACAAATCCAAACCAATCAAGGGTTGCCTCACAACGGTTCCAGGGAGCTTAGTCCTTTTGATCCTTTTGACATTGAGTCTTCCAAATGAGCCTTCCGTTTTGAGGTTATGTGTCGTATGCTTACAATGCAGAGCCCTAACAGTCCAAGTACGTAGAATGCCACTTTCACTCTTTGAACCCCTCCCCCCACCTAAGAAACCATCCTCAAAGAGCACTTAGACCCTTCCCAAAAAAAGCAACTACGGGGGAATCATTTTTTCCGTTAGGTCTTCTAAGCAGGTGCTTCAATCCATTCTCAAAGGGTACTTGCTACGTTGACCCTTTTGAAATTAGGGAGCGGTATCAAATCGAGTGTTATGATTTTTGGCGGCTATCCCCTGGCAGAACCTTTTGTCTTGAATTCCCATGCTCCGTTTCACTCCGAGTGCTACTGTGGATGGTTGCGAAATCCATTTCGCACCCGCTTTCAAACCATGGCTGCCACCAATTGGCTGTGGGTCAAAAGTAGGTACCTCAAATCGATCCCGGTAAATGGAAAGCTGGACTAAAACCTGCTGTCCCCTGGTGATTTAATTTTGACCCATACCCAAATTTTTTGTTGGTATGTATAGAAATGATTGTAAACCTGATGCTCGAGCCCGCTGCTCCATTGGCAAGCTCTTGATCAGGATATCTGAATAAACAATCCAAAAGATGAAAGGAATGACATTGGATGAGTCGCTTCTCCTATGTATCTTATTCCTCTCTTCTTCCACTATCACTCCACATCTTTTTGTTAATGAATCTCAATGAGTGATAATGGTGAAAGACATTCCAGTTCTTCTTCTAACCTTCTTCTCACCACCGGCTCGACTCGAGGCAAGAAGCGGTCAGAGAGGTACCCAGCAAAACGCCAAATAGTAATTCTAGATTATCCGGGCGAATTCTCGGTTTGCGTGATTGTCTCGCTAGTGTTTGGGAGCTTGAAACCGGCCTGCTCTGTGCCATTTTGGGCTGTGGATTTGGGTGTGCTCCGCACTCACGCCGTACCCGTCACTCAGAGTCCGCAACGGAATGTCATGCTCCTGAACTTAGGAATGCCTTCCCTGTGACACTCCAAGATGTTCAGAGTCTCTGTTTGGGGTTGATTCCTTCAGAACCCTTCCACCTTTTCCTTAGGATTCGTCCCGTTGACACGTCTACACTTCCGGGATCTAAGCGCTACAATTGTTACAACATAAATAATTAGACATAGAAAGATTACACATACAGACATGATGAAGATGTATGACATAGGATAGACGGATGAAGGCATGTTAAACAAAATATTATATCACTTCATCCTTCTTCATCTTACATCAGATTATCTCTGTTAGAATTATACTGGAGAAGATTCCACGAAGCTAGAACTCTTCATAATTATTCATGGTAAACTATACAACTCTACCTAGAGTCTCCATGACCCTTAAAACATGCGTCATGACCCATTCCTTTTGGGTGGAAACGGCTGGATCAGAGATAAGTTGGGAATCGAATCATGCGAGGGATTGACAGGTGCGAAATGGTTTTCGTTCATCCACATGCCCAGGCTTGTTTCGGAGGTTTCTGAGTGCAAGGGAAACGTTTCCCTCCAGCTTCTGGACACCGTGCATGATCAATCCATTTGAGTCTTTTTTTTTGGGTTTTCCTTCCGGCATCCCTTTAAACCAAAGTCTCCGTTGCTCCGCTGGTCCGCGACTGACCGGGGAAAAAGACACAAAAGTCGCCAGGTTACGCCTGGCTTTCGAGCGCCCTAGGTTCGGTGAGCCACGGGCCCCAAATGGACCACACCTCTGGTCAGCAGGGTCGGTTATTTGTTGAGGGTGCCCGCTTTTTGGTGGGTTTCAAAGGGACACCAAAAGGAACACCCCCCAATTTTTGGGGGGTGCCTGAAAAAGACACACCCAACAGGAGCAACACTTGGTGGACCCCTTTTGTTGCACCTGACTTTGGTGTTACCAAAAAGGCGTCAAAGGGACTGGACAGAACTTCAACAGATGGCCCACATGCTTTACGATCGATTCGCTACGTAGTCAGTGGTTAGGCCGTGTGGCTTCTGTGGGTTATAACCATGGTTATTTCCCACTTACTAAGTTCCCTGCCGGTTTGAGTAGTATCCTGGCAGCGGCTCCGATTTTTCTAAGGGTGCCCTTTGAAATGGCTTCGGATGTCCGCTTGGTTTCCCTTGAAATCCACATTCATTCATCGTTGAGGGGCGCTTCCTTGGCGCATCGCCATGCACAGTCCGGGTGAATGCTCGTGGCCTTTTTGGGTAGGCGCACCACCCATTTTAGAGCCTATTTTAGTTGGGATTGGGATGCTCACTGGGGGTACGGGCTTTTGACCCATGGCCACATCGCCACAGAGACAGCATGGTATACGTCTAGAGTCTCCATGACGCTTAAAAGATGGTTGGTCGTGACCCGAATCTTTCTTTGGGGTAATCCCCGAGGGGTCGGAATGGGGTCAGAAAGGTACCGTTTGAATTACATGAAACAACCTACCTGTGTGGCGTGATGTCCGTCCATTCGAGGCATGTGGGTCATCGGACCGAGAAACAGATTATTGCAGCTGGCGGACGTCTGCCTTTGGGGGCTGCTCTGAGATCAAGCCTTTGTCTCTTCCTTTTCTTTTACAGAGAAACTGACTTGTCCAACCCCCGGAGCGGGTCAAAGGCCCTCATATTTAGGGTCCAAGGGGCCCTTTAAAAAAAACAAACAAACTTTCAGTCGCTGGAGCTTTGATTTGTCGCCTTCGTTGAGTGAGGGCTGGAATCCCGAGATTTGACCCAGTCCGGGTGCGAGCTCACCTGCTTAGCGATCAACGTTTTTTTGTTTTTTTTGTTTTGTTTGTTTAAAGGTTCTGCAACCAAAAGATATCAGATGTCTAGTGTCTGAAGGTGCTGGTTCTCAGTAGGGAATGAGCGCTATGAACCATCCAAGTGGTGGTTTTCCTTTGGGGGGATCTTCTTCCACTTCATTCCGAAATTCCATTCCCTAGCAGCAGGTTGATGCCCCACAAGTCGGCATTTTTCCCAGGCGGTCTAGGACTGGGCGAGTTTTGACTGAAGGTACACCCATTATTTTTTTCGAGACACATGGGGAGATTGCTTTTTGGTTTGGAAAACCGACACACAGAACAGTATTTCTTTCAGGGTTGTGAACATGAGGCCTGGTTTCTGGTGGGATGTTGAATGTTTATGTGAATTTTCAGGAGCAGGAGGTCGACTGGAACTTCCGAGATCATGTGGAGGTACAATGAACTGACCATGATGCAGGTCATTTGCTTAGGAATCCTGCTTATTTCGGGTTTTGGAATATGAGTTTGACAATGGTGGTGTCTCAAAATGGGGAACCCACGAATGGTTGTTGGTTCCTTTTGGTT